GGGATTTTTAAATATATTTATTTATTTATTTTGTTCTACAGCCATCGCAGCAGTCCAAATTCCCTTGACTGCATGGATGTCTAGTTCCTCAACCATAACTCATCCTGTGGTTTCTGGAGGGAGCCAGTTTTGGTACTCCACTGCATCCAGGTAATGATGTAATGTATGCTGTAATTTTTGCATAACTAAATGTTAAAGCTTCGGAAAGCAAGGAATTTCTAACTTCGCAACCTCAATTCTATTGTCTGTATAGCTGCATGACAAAGAGTCTTGGGATTTTGATATTATGTCTAAGACAAGGATCTCAGGGGTTCCAGATAGGGTTAGTTATTTTAACTCTAAGTGCCTAAAGACAGTCTCATTTCCTGGCTAAAGATCTGCTTTGTTGGCAGATATGTTGCCAGGAAAAATCCTGGTCAAATTCACAGTTCAGCAACTGATGAATTACCAAGACTGTTGCACGAACTTTAACTCAGGGGTCAGTTCCAACAAGCATGGACTTCCATCCAATTCAACAGACTATCCTTCTTGGTTGTTTATACGACTTCTCTTGACACAATTAGTTTTTATGGTGATTATTTCAAAAACATTTTGTTTGTTAAGCCAAAGTAACTTATGTTTTCTAATGGACTTCTTCGTTGGGACCCATGTGGGGGATATTGTTTTGGGAGGTTAGTTCTGCAGAGAAGGTGGTTTCAAGAAACTTTCAGGTATGGAATATTGGAGCAAGTTCAATGTCATTAAGGTATGTTTTGTTTTAACCAAGAAAACTTTGGAGTCGAATAATTGCTTTTGTTTTACTATTTTTCAAATCCTAGATTAATCTTGGTCTGATTCAGGCAGCATTAATCAAAGATCATGTGTCTCGTAAACGTTTATTGTGGAGCCCTGACGGGCTTTATTTGGTAGGTTTAGATTTGAAACCACATAACCTTAAAATGGTCTGGTGTTACTGGTTTCTAACTATATATTGTATGTTTCATTAATGTTTTTCATTAAACGAGAGTTGCATATTCTAAACATATAGTGCAGTTTATACACTTATTATGGTTCACATGAAATTCGCAACATCTGGAGGTAGGCTCTCCATTATCTCCCTACTCTTGCTTATATCACTGTCGGTTACTTTTGTTTCTGACGTTTATTCGTTTTCATTTCTAGATTGATGCTCATGTTGGGAGTGTAAATGACTAGCATTCATCAACCACTCTAAGCAATTTCTGTTATTACTTGTGGTGATGACAGGACCATCAAGGTTGGTTATGAGTTACTAGTTAAATGTTAGTCATAGTTAGAAACTGTGATTTCTTACTCGATTTTTTTTGTTTTTGTTTAGGTATGGGATGTGGCTACTGGCACAAAATTTACACATTTGAAGGTCATATGGATGCCGTACATTCAGTTTGCCCTCATTCCAAGTAATGTTCATGTAATCCTCCTGCTTGATACTTGTATTTTGGTGGTTCATTCCCTGTTTATCACTTCATGGCTGATCTACTTAGTTTATTTGAAGTATTTGCTCATACTTACACTTCAGTTTGTCTTTTCAACATCCGTGTGGAAGATAAAGCTTGGTTGTATGACAGTGAGAACCAAGGGTTGATTATGATGCCCCTGCTCACTCTTGTGCAACTATGGCATATAGTCGATGGAAAAAGTTGGCTACTGGAACTGCTCTGGACTATAATATCTCCACATCATATTCATTTTATGGATGAACTAAGAAGTGCATATACATTATAACATGCAGGCTTTTCTCGTGTGGAACCAATAAAGAGGGGGAGTCACACTTTGTTGAATGGAATAAATGAAGGTTCTGTGAGAAGAATGTACAGAGGGTTTCATAAGCGTTCTTGGGGTTTGTACAATTTGATACTACCAAGAACAGGTTTCTGGCTGCTGGTGATGACTACAATCAAATTTTGGGATATGGATAACACTAATCTTTTGACAACCATTGATGCAGGGAGGCTTACCAGTAAGTTCATTGCAGAATGAATTAATATTTGTTTTATGGTGAATAACCTCTCTGAGTCTATGGAAGACACCCCATTTCTTTTGTTGTTGTTAGCTTGTCTATTTTTTTTGTATCTTCTAATTTTGATCCAATTCTTCTTGTTCCTATCAAAACCATCCTACATTTTATAGAGAAGAAAATTGTTAAGTTGCTCATTTACTTTCCAATTTAAGGCAAGTCCACGTATCCGCTTCAACAGGAGGGTACGTTATTGGCTGTTTCTGCAAATGAGAACAGAATTAAATCTTAGCAACAATGGATGGTATCATTTGATGCGCACTATGAAAGCCATTCTCTGATTGCGTCAAGAATAGCACCTGAGACTGTTACGGTAGTTAACTTATAATGTTTGCTTTCTTTTGACCATTTCTTTGAATAATCCAACGGTTACAGTACATAGATATTCAATTTTGTTTTTAAAAAATCCAATCATTTTTGTAATATGTGCATTGTCTTTGCTTATTCTGCGCATTCTCGCTGAACTTTCAATTATCTCTTCTCTCGAAATGTATTTCTCAGTTCATTATGGTCTTGGTGTTAGAATTTCCTATTATTTTGCTTAACAATTACTAATCTTTTGGTGCCTTTTATAGAATGGTGTGATTTTAGAAACCTGGAGGATGTTAAACCTAGATTAACTGAAGAAGTCAACCCATTGAAAAATTGGAAGCTCACGGATTAGTGAACCTTCTCAGTTGCGCACATTGAGGCTCCCAGCTCGTGTTAAAACAGATAAGGTATGTTTTCTGAGGGTATAGTTTAAGTCAGAGGCTTTTATTCCATTTGGATCTGGTGGACATTACAAGATTTCTGCCAACAGGGGTTTACTTGTGAGTCCGTGATATACCTGCATTCAGGATTTTATGTTAATCATGCTATCCATTATAAAGTTCGGTACACATAAGCAAACAATCTGAATGTTACATCATCTCTGAACAAAGTAATTTGATGGTGCTGGTCAAATCAATGTAGAGTCTGCTGTAACTGATGTCCTAATTCAATTTAAGTTTATCTTTTGAATAAACAGTAGCATAATTGTATATTGTTGTTCCTGTTCAAAGTATTCAGTACTTGTTGAAACTGAGAATATAAATCAGCACTCAAAAACCTGTAAGCGGAAACCATGGAAACAGAAAACCAACCAAGTTTTTGATAGTAGCTATATTCATTGGACAACATTATATAAACCAGAGTATGAACACACCAAGATTAAGTCTTAATTATAATTGTATAAGAAATTGGAATTTTGCATCAATGATTAAGCAGACTGTTTTGCCAATATATCTGCTACATATCTTATGGTGTCTTCCACACATTTCATTTGTTTAAGTATTCATCCACATATTGGTTCGAATTAAAATAGGCTCCAAGTATGGGGGCAAGAAAGCTACGTGTTACCTGATGTCAGTGAAGCATTATAGATGTTCGGCCACAGCCACTATGTATCATGTTGTCAGCACTCAGGACCACCTGAGACTTTTATTTGTCGTTACATCAGATAGTGTCATGCATACACTGACTAAAGTGTACCCAATATCCCTCACGCTCTTTAGACTGCGTGCACACTACGTGCGTTTCAAAACAGCAGCTTGTTTGGCTTTTCGAATCTTGTTTTCAAATATTTAAAACTAATCAATTTTACTACGGTTTAACCTAATCTTTATATTAATTGACTTGAAGGCCTTTAGGTAGAATATTAGGCATGTAATATAATACAAAATTTAATTACTTACCTCCAGCTATATTGCTCAAGTATTGTAGAAAGTTAAAACGTGAATGATCTGAGAATGAGTGTTTAAGAAATGTCTTCTTACCTATGCTTCTAGAACCTTTTTTCTTTTTGTATTTTTGCGATATCTCTTTGATGGAGAAGATTATATCTTTATATATGGCTAGGTGAGGGACCAAGTAACTCCCATCAACTACCTTTAATCTCTCATTAATGATCAAAAGAGGCAATTAATAATTCCTTTAAACCACCTTGAACTGCATAATTGTGGCATATGGCCACACCAAGTCCTACACTTTAATATTGTTGTTGCGTGATTTTATATCAATTACTCGCACGTATAAAGTGTTAAATTAGTCTTAAAAATTACACATGAACGATTATAATCAGGCATAAAGATTGAATAATAAATGAGAAATATAATTTTTAAAGTGGTTCAGATGCTTAAAGCAAATCTTACGTCAACTGTTTATTTTATATAAGAGAGATTTTAAAAGGTTGCGTATAATGAACAGAGATAAAATAACTGAGTATTCAGAGAGAATATCAAGTCAATCTCTTTTCCGTAGATTATCTTTGCTTTGAAAATAAATATTACAATCAGAATTCGAAAATGAGTGGGGGACTCCTTTATTTATAGTAGAGAAATTTAAGATAATGATTACAAATTTGCAATTGAGTAGGTGTTATGCAAGTCCTTCATTGTCTTTCATTAATTAATAACTTAGGAAATATTTTCAAATTATCAAAGGCTTTGACAGGTGTGCAGTCATCAATCACTCATAAATAAAACCTGAATTAACTAAGTTGGTAACAGTCATATTATTTATGTTATAGAGTAACGTGACAGCTTCTGGACAGTGTAAAATCTTCCTAAACTCTAATTGGTGCTTGCTGATGTAAACTAATGTTAACCTTGATTTTTTTTAGGTATAACAAATATGATTTATAAATAAATAAATAAATAAATAAATTTTATTATATTTAGAATAAAAATTTCATTTTGTGAACGCCTTTCCCATGGAGGGTGTCTTAAACGCGCTTAAAAATGAGAATGGTCTTACACCAAAACATAACCGTCATTGTCCTCTTTTGTGCAAAGAAGAGACAGCTGTCGGCTTAATTTTCAGCTATGGACCACATAATAAAACATTGTACTTATCATGATAAGCTACTGTACTTATATCTAGAAAATGCCGCCTGTTTCCATAATAAAAAGGTCGCTCTCTCTTCCTTAGTCACTAAGAACTCTAACCTCAAAAGCCGCATCGTCTGCGAAAGAGCACTGTGACTGCTCTGTTTTTTCTTTCTCTGTTTTTGTTGGTAAGACTTCGATTTTTCGTTTTAATTTTCACTTCTCATCTTTAGTTTTTCATACGATTCGCTTTTGTTTAATCATTTTTTCCCTTTTTCTCTTGTTGCTCTAAGCAGAGAGTCTTTAACTTTCAAGCGTTTTCTGTTTTGATGTGTTTAAAGCTACTTTACTGTTCATCATATTTCAAACCCTAATTTTCTTTACCTTTTTAAGCTAATTTTAGCTCACGACTCTTCAACTCTGCTCAATTTCTTTGTTAGTCTGTAAGAGTCAAGTGGATTTCACATCAAGTCTGTTGACAGAGGCTCAATTTCCAAATTTTCGTTTGATTTTTAAAGTCATTTTGGCTCTGTTTTTTAGAGCTCTGTTTCTGTTGATTGGGTGTTAAAAATTTTCGTGAAAATGATTCTTCATTGTATACTCCACCCATCTTCATATATAAACCATAAGTGCTAGACTATTATTTTGTTTTCTTCATGGAGAAGTTTCCTTTTTTAAACTTTTTTAAAGAAATTAATGCAATTTTTTGTCGGTAAGTTTTTTGTTTTTAAACTTTTTTAATATTCCTTGTCTATACAAAGACTCAAATGTATGTTTGTTTTTCTCAGTGGTTAATTTGGAAGCTCTGGAGATAAGAGGGTAGAGCTAAAATGACTTCTTCGCTTAGTAGAGACCTCGTCTTCTTGATCTTGCAGTTCCTCGAAGAGGAGAAGTTCAAAGACACTGTTCACAAGTACAGTTTTAACCCAACTCATAATTACCTTGTTTTCCCTTTTCTTTATATATTTATTTGTATATGTAACTAACTTGATGAAATGAACAGGCTTGAGCAAGAATCGGGTCTGTTCTTTAGTGTCAAGTACTTTGAAGACTTGGTGCTCAATGGAAAATGGGATGAAGTTGAGAATTACCTCTCTGGGTTCACTAGAGTTGATGATAACAGGTATTCGATGAAGATCTATTTTGAAATTCGGAAGCAAAAATACCTAGAAGCATTGGACAGGTAAATAGTAAGCTAGTGAATTTCCAAAAATGTAACTACTCTCGTGTTGTATTTAAGTAGATATTTTTTCCATAAATTTTATCTGCTTGCTTGCTTAAATTGAACAGGAAAGAACGAGGCACGGCTGTAGATATTCTTGTTAAGGATCTGAAAGTTTTTGCTTCTTTTAATGAAGACTTATTCAAGGAGATCACTCATCTCCTTACATTAGAAAATTTTCGGTACCTATACTCACTGCAAGGTTCTTAAATTTTAAGTTTGAATTGGAGAATGATGTTTTCTGACATTTTAATAAATCGTGATTTCTATAGGGAAAATGATCAACTCTCTGGCTATAGAGATACAAAGACTGCAAGAACAATTATGTTGGTTGAGCTCAAGAAGCTTATTGAGGCAAATCCCCTTTTCCGCGACAAATTGGGGTTTCCTAACATAAAAGGTTCAAGGTTGCGGATGCTCATCAATCAAAGGTATGATAGCCTTAAAACGACATTAGGAAAAAAATTGTCTATTGTATAAATGGTATGTTTGATCTACTTTTTATTTACTCAACTGGCTGTTATGAAGTAGCACTGGCATATGTTTCTGTGTACAAGCATATCTTATGTTGGAGTTTTGTTCCACTTGGCAATTCTTCTTTACGAAGATCTGGCATTCAGTGATTGGTCATGTAGGTGACTGGTTTTGGTTATGTATGAGACAGCTTGAACTGGCAGCATTCACTTTGCGCAAATCCTAGGCCAAATCCTGATATAAGAACCCTTTTTGTGGATCACAATTGTAGAAACTTCAATGATCCGTATGTGCAGCTAACTGCGAGCAATCAGCTAATAAGTCCTGCAGCGAAGTCAGAAAGTTTTCTTCCAATGGGCACACATGGGGTATGTGAACAAGTTCACCTGGCCTGTGACTCACAAATCTCTGGGATTTTTTAAAATATAATTTATTTATTTATTTTGTTCTATCAGCCATCAGCAGCAGTCCAAATTCCCTTGACTGCATGGATGTCTAGTTCCTCAACCATAACTCATCCTGTGGTTTCTGGAGGTGGAGCCAGTTTTGGTACTCCACTGCATCCAGGTAATGATGTAATGTATGCTGTAATTTTTGCATAAAACTAAATGTTAAAGCTTCGGAAAGCAAGGAATTTCTAACTTCGCAACCTCAATTCTATTGTCTGTATAGCTGCAATGACAAAGAGTCTTGGGGATTTTGATATTATGTCTAAGACAAGGATCTCAGGGGTTCCAGATAGGGTTAGTTATTTTAACTCTTAAGTGCCTAAAGACAGTCTCATTTCCTGGCTAAAGATCTGCTTTGTTGGCAGATAATGTTGCCAGGAAAAAATCCTGGTCAAATTCACAGTTCAGCAACTGATGAATTACCGAAGACTGTTGCACGAACTTTAACTCAGGGGTCAGTTCCAACAAGCATGGACTTCCATCCAATTCAACAGACTATCCTTCTTGGTTAGTTTATACGACTTCTCTTGACACAATTAGTTTTTATGGTGATTATTTCAAAAACATTTTGTTTGTTAAGCCATAAAGTAACTTATGTTTTCTAATGGACTTCTTCAGTTGGGACCCATGTGGGGGATATTAGTTTGTGGGAGGTTAGTTCTGCAGAGAAGGTGGTTTCAAGAAACTTTCAGGTATGGAATATTGGAGCAAGTTCAATGTCATTAAAGGTATGTTTTGTTTTAACCAAGAAAAACTTTGGAGTCGGATAATTGCTTTTGTTTTACTATTTTTCAAATCCTAGATTAATCTTGGTCTGATTCAGGCAGCATTAATCAAAGATCCATGTGTCTCCGTAAAACGTTTATTGTGGAGCCCTGACGGGGCTTTATTTGGTAAGGTTTAGATTTGAAACCACATAACCGTTTAAAATGGTCTGGTGTTACTGGTGTTGTCTAACTATATATTGTATGTTTTCATTAATGTTATTTTCATTAAACAGGAGTTGCATATTCTAAACATATAGTGCAGTTATACACTTATTATGGTTCACATGAAATTCGGCAACATCTGGAGGTAGGCTCTCCATTATCTCCCGTACTCTTTGCTTTATATCACTGTCGGTTACTTTTGTTTCTGACGTTTATTCGTTTTCATTTCTAGATTGATGCTCATGTTGGGAGTGTAAATGATCTAGCATTCATCAACCACTCTAAGCAAATTTCTGTTATTACTTGTGGTGATGACAGGACCATCAAGGTTGGTTATGAGTTACTAGTTAAATGTTAGTCATAGTTAGAAACTGTGATTTCTTACTCGATTTTTTTGTTTTTGTTTTCAGGTATGGGATGTGGCTACTGGCACAAAATTGTACACATTTGAAGGTCATATGGATGCCGTACATTCAGTTTGCCCTCATTCCAAGGATAATGTTCATGTAATCTCTCTGCTTGATACTTGTATTTTGGTGGTTCATTCCCTGTTTATCACTTCATGTGGCTGATCTACTTAGTTTATTTGAAGTATTTGCTCATACTTTTACACTTCAGTTTGTCTTTTCAACATCCGTGGATGGGAAGATAAAAGCTTGGTTGTATGACATGATGGGACCAAGGGTTGATTATGATGCACCTGCTCACTCTTGTGCAACTATGGCATATAGTGCTGATGGAAAAAGGTTGGGCTACTGGAACTGCTCTGGACTATAATATATCCACATCATATTCATTTTATGGATGAACTAAGAAGTGCATAAATACATTCATACATGCAGGCTTTTCTCATGTGGAACCAATAAAGAAGGGGAGTCACACATTGTTGAATGGAATGAAAATGAAGGTTCTGTGAGAAGAATGTACAGAGGGTTTCATAAGCGTTCTTTGGGTGTTGTACAATTTGATACTACCAAGAACAGGTTTCTGGCTGCTGGTGATGACTATTCAATCAAATTTTGGGATATGGATAACACTAATCTTTTGACAACCATTGATGCTGAGGGAGGCTTACCAGTAAGTTCATTGCAGAATGAATTAATATTTGTTTTATGGTGAATAACCTCTCTGAGTCTACATGGAAGACCGCCATTTTCTTTTGTTGTTGTTAGCTTGTCTATTTTTTTTTTGTATCTTCTATTACTTTTGATCCAATTCTTCTTGTTTCCTATCAAAACCAATCCTACATTTTATAGAGAAGAAAATTGTTTAAGTTGCTCATTTACTTTTCCAATTTAAGGCAAGTCCACGTATCCGCTTCAACAAGGAGGGTACGTTATTGGCTGTTTCTGCAAATGAGAACAGAATTAAAATCTTAGCAACAATGGATGGTATCATGTTGATGCGCACTTATGAAAGCCATTCTCTGATTGCGTCAAGAATAGCACCTGAGACTGTTACCAAGGTAGTTAACTTATAATGTTTGCTTCTTTTTGACCATTTCTGTTATATCTTCTTTATGTGCTTTGAATAATCCAACGGTTACAGTACATAGATATTCAATTTTGTTTTTAAAAAATCCAATCTGATTTTGTAATATGTGCATTGTCTTTGCTTCATTCTGTGCATTCTCGCTGAACTTTCAATTTAATTTCTTTCTCTTGAAATGTATTTCTTCAGTTCATTATGGATCTTGGTGTTAGAATTTCCTATTATTTTGCTTAACAATTACTAATACTTTTGGTGCCTTTTATAGAATGGTGATTTTAGAAACCTGGAGGATGTTAAACCTAGATTAACTGAAGAAGTCAACCCAGTGAAAAATTGGAAGCTCACGGAGATTAGTGAACCTTCTCAGTTGCGCACATTGAGGCTCCCAGCTCGTGTTAAAACAGATAAGGTATGTTTTCTGACGGGTATAGTTTAAGTCAGAGGCTTTTATTCCAATTTGGATTCTGGTGGACATTACAAGATTTCTGCCAACAGGGGTTATACCTGTGAGTCCGTGATATACCTGCATTTCAGGATTTTGATGTTAATCATGCTATCCATTATAAAGTTCGGTACACATAAGCAAAACAATCTGAATGTTACATCATCTCTGAACAAAGTTAAATTTGATGGTGCTGGTCAAATCAATGTAGGAGTCTGCTGTAACTGATGTCCTAATTCAATTTAAGAGTTATCTTTTGAATAAACCAGTAGCATAATTGTATATTGTTGTTTCCTGTTCAAAGTATTCAGTAACTTGTTGGAAACTCGAGAATATAAATGCAGCACTCAAAGAAACCTGTAAGCGGAAACCATGGAAACAGAAAACCAACCAAGTTTGTTGATAGTAGCTATATTCATTGGACAACATTATATAAACCAGAGTAGTGAACACAACCAAGATTGAAGTCTTAATTATAAATTGTATAAGAAATTGGAATTTTGCATCAATGATTAAGCAGACTGTTTTGCCAATATATCTGCTACATATCTTATGGTGTCTTCCACACATTTCATTTGTTTAAGTAGTTCAGCTCACAGTTCTCTGTGTATCAACTGTTATCGTTCTAATGCCTTAGTTTTGCCAGAAAAAACTACCAAGTGTTTATTACTTGAAAGGATATAGGTTTCTCAATGGTTTCTCCTGTGACTATTGCAGATCTCAAGGTTGATCTACACTAATTCTGGTAATGGCATTTTGGCATTGGCATTAAATGCCATTCACCTATACTGGAAGTGGCCACGAAGTGAGGTTAATTTAAGTGGGAAGGTATAAGTTTCCTCCCTTGGCCTCAATCCATTTCTATCTTAAAGCCCATAGAGATTATCAAAATCTTCCCATTTCACCTCAATTTGTTCCCCTGTTAAATTTTGAATTGATGATTACTCATATAAAGTTTCATGGTGTAGGCAACTAGCAAGGTTGCCCCTCAACTAATACAACCAGCATCAGGCATATTAATGACCAATGATTTAACGGGTGCTAAGCCTGAAGATGCTGTGCCCTGCTTTGCTTTGTCCAAGAATGATTCCTATGTCATGTCAGCATCTGGAGGAAAAATTTCCTTGTTCAACATGATGACATTTAAGGTAAGCTTCGGAACAGATTTAAAAGTTCTTAACTACAGGTTTATTTGCAATCCTTTCTCATAGATTATCTCTCAAAAAGGATTTTGGTGGGAAAAGAGACAAACCACTCTTATTTAGCAAGTCGGCTCTTGGGCTATATTAAGTAAGGAAATTCCAAAATTGATCAAGAACTGGTCTAATAAGCTGTTTTTAAAGCAACTTTTCATTTAGTTTTTGCTTTGAAAAAGGACCTTTATGACATTACAGCTTAGGGATATTCCTCTTCTTTATTTTTCACGTAGATAAAAAAGTTTAGATTTCAACTTTATGTCACACATCTGCTTCATTTTGACTGACTTATTGGTATCTGTTGGGTACTTACAGACTATGACAACTTTCATGGATCCACCACCTGCATCAACATATCTTGCTTTCCACCCTCAAGATAACAATATAATTGCTGTTGGCATGGATGATTCCACTATACACATATATAACGTTCGCATAGATGAGGTATGCTATATTCTAGAGCAATGACTGTGGTGATACTTATTAGAGATAAATCTAGCAAATTGGCTGTTTTCTTTCTTGTTGTAGGCCAAGAACAAGCTTAAAGGTCACTCTAAGAGAATCACTGGCCTTGCCTTCTCCCATGTGCTGAATATACTTGTTTCTTCAGGAGCCGATGCTCAAGTTAGTGTCTTAACTTCAAACTTCTATAGCATGCATATTAGAAACATGCAATTCTATACAAGGTTTATATATGTTGCCTCTTAATTCAGCTCTTCTACATGTTATCATCATTTTTCTTTTGATTGAAGTGCAAGATAAACACAAGTAACAAATCTTACATAATATATTTTCAAGCAACCATAGTTCTTTATGGATATTTGTTATGCATAATCCATTAATTTGTTCCTTCTTTTCCTAGATCATCATATGGAGTTGTGATAGGTGGGAGAGGCAGAAAAGCACCTCATTGCATATTCCATCTGGAAGGACTCCAGCAGCAATGTCAGATACCCAAGTTCAATTTCATCATGATCAGATACACTTCCTCGCTGTAAATGAGACCCAGCTTGCCATATATGATTCAATGAAACTGGAGCGGGAAAAGCAGGTATTTTCATTTAGCATGTAACTTTTTAATCAACAAATAAATTTGGTCCTTGATGGTGTATCCATTTGGACTTGGCCTTCAGAACAACCAATTGCACCAGAACATAGAGGGGTTTTTTGGTCTTCCACTAACTGAATGGACTGGTGAATTGAAAAAATCCCAGCTTTTTGAATTGAGAAAACCTCGCTATTAATCCACTGTGACAACTGATGTATTGATGATGGCCAAATATTGAGGAAACAGTCTAGTATGAGTCTCTGACTTTATCTCTCAAATTGCTGACCATGTGCATTTGTCTGAAATTTAGTGGGTCGTAGGAGAATCCTCAGCGCCAATCTCCCATGCAACATTCTCATGTGATAGCCAGTTGGTGTACAGCAGTTTTGTGGATGGCGCCGTGCGGATATTTAATGCATCAAATCTTCAATTACGATGTCGAATTGGATCTTCAGCTTATCTTCCATTAGATGTCGGGTATGTCCTCCATTTTCTTATACATGCCTGTTATTTCACTTCACTGATCTAGCATTAAGTATTCCTTGTCATCTATTACATTTTTCTCTGAGTTTAGTTTTCTGAGCTTGTTGAACTTCAGTTAAGAGTATGCAGTTCGACTTTATCAAACTTGGGTCTAAAATCATGTTTATTATCATGGAGTGTGATTCTAACTCTTGTTTATTATAAATTCATTCATTGCAGTTCCGTAGCACTATACCCGCTTGTGATTGCAGCACATCCACAAGAACCCAACCAATTTGCCATAGGACTAACTGATGGCGGTGTTCATGTCTTCGAGCCGCTAGAATCTGAGAATAAATGGGGTCCTCCTCACTCACCTCTTGAGAATGGCTCAGCAAGCAACGCTCGCCCTGTATCTCCCATAGCAGTTTCAGATCAACACCGAGGCTGATCATGTGCTGAATAATCCAATGTGTACATATAAACGTGCTTTATTTAAGTCAGTTTTAGTAGTTGACTATATGTAATTATGCAGTTAAACATGGAGCTTTATTTTTTCTAATAAAACAAACGTTATGTAAGATGATGAACAGCAGAAATGTTACACATTTAAGCCAATGGTTTGTTGCGCCAAACAATCCCAATTCACTAAACAAAGTAACAAACTCATCATTCATCTCAGCTTTTCTGGAAAAAAATTTCTAAATTCGGAGCTCCGGACGACACGTCATTCTTCGCGGACCGCATGTCGTCTCGTGTTTGGATTGGACACGACTCGTGTGCTTCTTTTTATTCTTCTTTAAATGTATATTGTCGTATTAGATTTGACACAATCTACGGTCCTGATTTTGCCTGTCATTTTAAACGGGAACACCAGGCTGTCATACTATATTATTCATAGTCTTTCTAGAGCCAGTGGTCCCAAGCGTTCATAGCAAAAGCAAAATATATCTTCAAAACCCTAGCTAAACCCCCAATTTCAAAACCCTAATCACTTCTTTTTATCTTTTTAGACACCTTTCCTCCTTAATTCTTTTCTCAATTAGGCCTTTTTTCCTTTTAAAAATTTGTCTGTAGATTTATTGTGTCTATTTCTTGCTGTATGTTAAGTATGGAAGTACAAAGCTTCTGCTCAAACGCGGTCGTTTTGGACAGTATTTTTCGCTCTGCAATTGAAACTCTGGTAGTTGAGACAGCCATTGTCCTCAACAATTCAATTCCTTGGTATCTCTTGATGGTAATTTTCTTTCCCTTGCGTTTTTGTGTTGTGTTGTGTTTTATGTGTTTGAAGTAGTAGACTCTTGCTATATTTATAAATTAATCATTTTGAAAAAAAATTATTTGAATTTATTGTCAAAATTTCTTGTTTGCGACAGGAATTGTAGTTACAATTTGGTTGGAAGGGTAAGCTAGGTTTTTGTTTGACTGAGATTCTATTTCAGCTACTTATGAACACTTTTTGGAGGGATAGACTAAGAAAATAACTTTGATTATGTGTAGAATAATGTCATTTTGAAAATGTTATTTGGTGTTGCCTTCTGTGTTTCTCTGTAGATCTCACATTATTATGGAGGTGTTGGTGGGCCTTTGAGGAAGTTCATTGATAGGAAATGTTGTCATTGACTTGTTTAAAGAGTCGGAAAAATGTTGAATCCTAGGGACTTCATTTTTTATGGAGGATCCTTTTCCTTAGGTTTCCTCATGGGCTGGGTTGTGGCTGCTCCTAGATGTTGCTAAATTGGACCCAAATTATTAGTCGTTGTGATTTGGTTTGGTGTTGAATGTTTCTTTTCGTGTAGTTTTCTAGTGGTGTTCTGTTACTTCTGTAGAGCTTTTATATCTTTTAATTATTAAAGATACTTACATTATTTGTCGAAGTGGCTAACTTTCCTCTATAAAAGCTACTATTTTTTCAATATCGTAAACTAGAGGCTGATGGCAATGCTAATGGTTTGTCAAATTTTCTCAGTACTCATGGGCTATGGTTGGAGTTGGGTTGGCATATATCTTAGTCTCTGTTTTACCGAGAGAGGGGAAAAAAAAACAATAAAGAAAAGAAAAGAGAGAAGCCTTTCCAACTATGAATTTCATTTTAGAATGTGCATGCAAGTAATAGGCTGGGTACCACCTTGGGGAGAGGAGGGAAATGAAAGAGGAATGTTATTTGTTCAGTTATCATTTTATAAATGCACCAAGTTTTTCTTTTTGAATGTGAATGGAAATTATTAATCTATTGAACAAGTTATGATGACTTATGTGACATACTTATTATTGAATTAGTGAGTATTCTTTTAAGCCTTATTCATATATGGATGAAGTGATTCACACATGTTACTTGCAGACAGCATATTATTGTAGATTCTGGTTTTCATTTTTTCTTATTTAAGCTTGGTTGAGCATGCTTTGTTATTGTAGTGTTGGGATCTAGGTTGAAGTCTTTAGGTATCCAAGGTACTCCCCATCTTCAATATTCATGATCAACCTAAATGGACCTCTGAAAAGCAAATAAGACAATTTATTGGCTATCAAGAACCCATTAGTTTGAATGGTCTAAGTATATACAAGTGGTGTTGAGATACTTCTTTTTTGTTTTCGTAGTTATGATTATTTTCTATAAACTCATCCCTGCCTTACACCTTTCTCAGACTTGCCTTAGCACAGTTTTTGGTTTTGTTTTTCAGATGGAATCTATGCCAAATGAAAAGAATATCCTCAATAAAGAGCTTGGAACACTTGGAAGGTTCGTGACAGGGTTTCTTTTACATTGTGTCACTTCTGTCCTGTTGCTTTAAAAGGGGAAAAACAGATTAGTTTTGTCATGCAGGTTTCCCTTTTCTGAGCTTTATGCAGTGACAAAGCCGGGTCCTGAGAACAAAGATGGCAGTGACACTGAGGATGATGAAGAGGATGATGATGAGGATGCTGCAGATGATCAGGATGATGATGCTGGTGAGGATGAGGATGGTTCTGATGAAGAAGGTGATGCTCAAGGGGACCCTGAGGATGAGCCTGAGGCCAATGGTGCTAACGGAAGTGGAGATGAAGATGACGATGATGACGATGACGATGACGATGACGATGATGATGATGATGGGGAAGAAGAGGAAGAAGAAGAAGAGGATGATGAGGAAGATGAGGAAGAGATTCCTCAGCCACCAGCTAAGAAGAGAAAATGAGGCCAGAATGTTTCATTCTCTTGTTGTGTTTTTCTAATTTGCCTTGTGGTTAGGGAGTTTGAGGTAGGTTCCTAGGATGGGTAGGATTCAAGGTGCCTCTCTGCATTAGATTAGAGATGATTCTGGTACTTTTGTGGATTAAACTTTGTTTTATTATATTTCTAATGTTACATCTCTCTTATCATTATGTATTTGCCACCTCTTTTCTGGTCCTTTAGTTCCGTTTGTTTTTCTCATTTTATTTATGTCTACTCAGAAGTGTTATCTTACCTTTCAAGAAAGAGTTATGCACCTTCAGACCGCTGAGCTAATGTTCAAATAACTTAAATGATGCTTTGATAACATTGGCGTACGGGAGATTTTTCAATTGCTTTGCGTTGCTGCATTTGAGATGTTTCAAATGCTTTGTGTTGCTGCATTTCGGAACTGTCATCGCTCCATTGAAATTTAAGCAATGCATAAACTTTGGATTTGTGCTCCTGTTTGATTTTGATCTCCATTTTCAGGCCAAGCTCATATTGAACTCAATCTAAACTTTACCTACGCATTTAATATGATTATTGATTGATAATATATTCATAATATTCATATACGAACTCTGAAGATCTGATCATTGAGCAAGGAACAGAAACTACATATCTCCCGAAATAATTAAAAGACACCGTAAATGGCGATTTATTATTATTATTATTATTTATATACCAACTCTGAAGATCTCATAAAGATACATGGGTCTAAGAGCAGGCAACATTGAGGGAAACCGCATCCCATGTAATAGTAGTGTCCCATGCATAGTTGAAGCTGAATGAAGATGACGCAAAAATAGGTTTACCACCGTTAATAAGACAGTAGTCGCCAGATTTTGACAACACTGATGGGTCAATCTTTTGCGCAGATTGAAACCCAGCACAGTTCATTGTCAGGTTCCACACATCACATCTGCAGGGATTTTGAATAATCACTCTCCATTGTAGCTTATTTTGCACTGTAAATCCAGTTCGAAATTCGGTTACGCTAATATCCGATGCACCGCATTGACAGTAGCCTGCACTTCATTGAGATTTTATATTATTAACACTAGAAAGTTGCAGAAAAATCACAAACAATTACATAAATATAAACATATATATACATATATATTACGATTACCTCTGCTGATGAAACTAAGAAAGAGAATAGCCACCAGAAAGTTAAGGATTGTTGCCATTACAGACGAAAAATGATTGAAATATCCTTTGAATTGATTTGTTCGTGGTTGATTTATGCAGCTTGTCCCATCAATATATACAGTAAATGACAGAGCCAATGGTTTCGTTTGCCATTTGCAACTGATAAAATATTTGTTACCAGTTATTAGAGTCTGGCGTATCAAATTTTGGTTGGTAGATTCTATATATAAATTGAAGTTATTTATTAACTAACTTTAAATGGAATTAACCCAAATTAAATCTTTGAAGGAATCGTTTTCTTATTATTTCCTTAGTACTGTTATTTAAAGAATTTGTAAATTTTTTTGCCTATTTATAAACATTTATCATTTTAATGGTTGGGTGGTAATTGTCGTTTTTCAAACTTTTTGGATAATAAATTCTCGTTAGAGCAAACTTCGGATGGGAAGATGTCGTTCGGCCTAAAAAGTTTCATATATACTAAATGACCTTTACTCTTATAGTTTTATCGATTAAATAGACAAAAATATTAAATATGTAACATTGGAGATTGGTGATTAATAACTTTGAGCATAACATTTGTCAGTTCAAGTATTTAAAGTTATTATTATATTATGTAACGTTCATGGTTGAACTCAACATTTCCAAGGATAAAAGACACCGTAAATCGGTGATCTTCTTATTATTATAAAACTATATGCTTAATTTCAAACTACAAGCTCTGAAGATATGAAAGACATGATATGATATCCCTCTTAAGAGCAGGCAATTTGGGCTGAAACTGGCGTCAATGAGAAAGAAGAATCCCATGCGTAATTGAAGCTGAAAGTAGATAATCCTACAATAGGGTTACCATTGTTAATAAGACAATTATCGCCAGATTTTGACAAGACGGAAGGGTCAATTTTTTCCACAGTTTGAAAGCCAGTGCAGGACAGTGTCAAATCCAACACAGTACATCTGCAGGGATTAGAGATTGTTACTTTCCATTCTGGCTTATTTTGCAATTGGGATCCAGTTTGAGACTGGTTTACTGTAACATTCTGTGCAAAGCACTGACAATACCCTGCATTTCATTGAAAACATACCTGCATGTCAGAAAAATCATATATAAATATATCTATACAGTACATATATATGGTATTAAGATTACCTCTGCTGATGAAACTCAGAAAGATAATTGCGGACAGAAAGTTGAGGATGGTTGCCATTATAGAGAAAATAACACTGCAGGTTCAATGAAGAATTTTTCACCCTTTCATTGATGTGTTGACAGAAGTATATATACACCTTGAGATTTCATTTTACGTTATTTATGTACAATGTCTGGGTTGAAATCCAATCCAAACGTTAACTAATAGTTTAGTTGGTCCTAAAACTAATATATAAACAATGGATTTATTGAAGCCTGGAAGGTCAATCGGCAGATCTATTTATCAAGTCAAGCAATTTATTATCGCATGTTTAAATGGAAACAAAATCTATTCATTTTCAAGTCATAGAAGGATAACATATTCACCCTTTTGTATTTGTTTTGTCATAGCTTGCATGTTGACTGAAAAACAAAAACGCTGCAGTTATAAGAAATTGGAGAGACAAAGTATCAGGATCCCACATCGTAATCTCACACCCATTAGGTGTGGTACTTAAGCCTAAGAGTTCTCCCATCTATTAGGTTGGTTTTTTGGGTTGGACTCTCTATTGTATTTGAGTTTTAACATTTGATGATTTCGTTGAAAGTTGGGTTGCAGAAAGGGTTACTTATAGGCTACATTAAAGTGTAGTCGAGAGGGGTGTTGCATCTAATAACGGATAGGTGAGTGAAGCCGTCCAAAGTGAAAGGGCTACCATAGGGTTAGTATCGAAAACCGTTGTGGACATCAGCTCTTGAAGGGGGCGTTACAATTTTAGGATCTCACATCATGATCTTACACTCACCAAGTATGCTATTTAAGCTTAAAGGCTCTCTCACCTATTAAACTGGTTTTTTGGGTTGAGCTTTCCCCGGGCTTGAGTTCTAACACAAGTTTGCATTCTCTCTCCTATTTGTATCATCCTCTCCCATTTTCTTCTCTCAAGTTAAACTTCAGAAAGCTAAAGACTACTCTTTATACGATAGTATTAATTAAACGAATGAAAAAAAAAAAAAAAACAAATAAATTTATTTCATATTAACGTTCTTCGCACATATATTAAGAATGTAACTAATGCTACCAATTTATTGCACGCAAAAAGTATTGCAAATAGTATTTTGAGTACAGGAGATGAGTAAATTCCGTCTATTAGGCGCCATGGTAATAACTTTGAGCATAGGATTTGTAAGTTAAGGTTGTTCAAGTTCTTATTATGTAACGTTCATGAAAATCCCTTTTTAAGAACAGGCGATTTGGGCCGAAAGAGGGTTCAATGGGAACGAAGTATCCCATATATAACTGAAGTTGAATGCAGAGAAGCCATAAACAGGAGCACCGTTGTTAATAAGACATTCGTCTCCAGATTTTGCCAGAACCGAAGGGTCAATAATGTCTCGTATGGTCCGAAACCCATTGCATGATAATTTAAGGTGCAACACTGTACATGGGCAGGGATTAGAGATTGCCACCTTCCATTCTGGCTTATTTTGCACTGTCAATCCTGTTTGAGACTGGCTCACTGTAATACTCTCTAGACAGCATTGGCAATTCCCTGCAATTCATACAAAGATTGAATGCAGAAGAATGAGAGAAATTAAACGTTAATGAATTACAATATCACATATAATATAATATAATATAATATATGCTATTTACCTTTGCCAATGAAGCTAACGAAGAGAATTACACCGATAAAGTAGTTGTCTAGTTGAGGATGGTTGCCATTGCACGGGAATAAACATATACCAGAGATATTCTTTGACTGAGTTGATGTAGAATGGCAGTGTTTTTAATATTAGAGAAATGTTTCTTTTTTAAGAGAGTGTAAATACAGCTCTTGTAAATCTTTCCATAACTAAAAACAAAGACTTTTTGATGAGAATGATGGAAAATTCATACACACACATGCATGCACCACCCAATTTATGTTGTGTAATTAATGTCTATACTAATTAAGAAGATCATATTGTTACAACCTGGTTAGTAAATACGGTTATGGTAAAAAAAGGGTACGGGAATTTTACAGGTATAATACGGTAATTGGTGAAAAATATATTTGTAAAAATTCAGGAATAATTTGTGTTGATGCAAAAAATACACCGATTAGAGTGATCCAATTGACTTTGGTGGAATCGGAACGTATGTGTGCGTGATTACGGATAACCAGCCATGTATGAACGGAAAATGCAATATAGTAAATGACACAATGAGTTTTTAAAGTGGTTCAGCGAGATATACTCTTGAACCTACGTCTACTGTTTTTATATTTACTGTGAGAGTTTACAATAACAATCCTAGAACAATTTGCTAACTCATTTCTCATCGTTGGAGAGGGTTTATATACAAGTTTTGTACAAAGGAATGAGCAAAAATAAAGGGATTACAATTAAGATTGAAATGCAACTGATATTCTCGCAATTGAGCGCTGAGATTGTGCCAAGATTGTTGTCGATCTGATCCCTTCCGAGATATCTGGGATCTGAAGTTATCTGTGAGTTGGCTGAATAACTATAAGAATTGGTTGCGACTAGCTTGTACTAGTCAAGCTACAACTTGACGACCTTATGCTGGGTCGGACAATCGATTGAGTCAAACTAATTCTGGATCGAGCTTTAACCTTGTAATTCTCCGAGCTTGCTGAAAAATCGCACAGAACAAGTCGGATACGGGAATAATTAGCGAATAAAATGTCTGAGACATATAGTTCGCGAATAATACTGATGTGTTGATAACATATGGAAATTCGCAAATGATACGCGAATTCACCAACTAGTTATAAGTAACAGATCAGCATACTGAAATTTTAACTTATAAAAAGCCTCGTCTGTATCAGATCCTATATATTCAACTCAAGTTTTTTAAAATAATAATCTTATGCATTTTAATGCAAAATTTCCATGTAAATGATGACAATCTACAGTATAATACATATGTAAGATAATAAGTAAATCTCAGAGGAAGAGATCAAAATAATTACATCCCAGGCATTATTGAAACTGGTGCATCTCAACTGGTGTAACGATTGACCGCCACTATTCTTGACACAACCTATGATAAGATCAATGTAATCTGGAGATCAATATTCCACAAGCCACAAGTTTTAAGTTATATATAAATGTACAAGTAATTAATTAAAATTGATTGGATAATATTATGCTAAGGCAGGGAGTCTCTGACATCTGATGATCTTTTTATTAAAGATAATTATTATCGTTTTCTTCATTCATTTCAATGGAGTTTTGATATACATATATCCTTGCACTTCACTGTTAATCCCTCGAAGCAGCCCAAACTTTTAGTTTCTTTTACATGCGTTTCGTTCTTCCTACATTGAATACAGAATCTACCCAGATAAAACTTTGGTCTGCCTCTGCATGTTGCCTTTCAAGTAGAGGGAGAAGCCATATGATCATATAATATAATATGTAGAATATACCCAGATAATTAATAGCCAAAATTTCAAATTTTGATGAATTATATAATATGCCATGGCTGACCCAGTACTGACCTAGTCACCTAGATTGATAGATCGATATCTTGCTTATCTAGTGCAGGAGAGACCTAGTGACTTGAAGCTGACGAAGACTTTTGACTTTTTTTATCATGAAATGGACCACTAATAATAAGTATTTGAAGAGGCCTCCTCTTGTCCTAGCCATGTGTTTCGCACAAACGAAAGAGGAAGAGAGGATTGGAATCAGTGAATTAAAATATGAACTTGCATCGATCATAATGCATGAAGCATGAAAGAGACCTGTGCGGACTAAAGGTGAATTTACAATTGGTTCGTTAAGACTTCATCTTTCTATACTTGTTTATTATTAGTTTTGGTAGATGGATTTCCTTAAACAATTTTTCATTACGTGACTATCTCTTTTCATTCAGGATATTAATGAGCTCAAAGCCTCAACTGGGGACGTTTTGACTCTCTCTCAATCATGCATCTGAACATTCAATTGGAGTATATATATTAATATTATTCTTCATTTGTATGGTACTTCAAAGTTCAAAGAGAAAAAGACAATATTAATTGCAAATGACATCTTTATGAAATGGTTTCTTTCTTGAAACTTTTGCTTGTTCGTTTATGGCTGTTTTGGGTGAGTCATTGCTCAATCTCAGTGGTGGTGGGAGGAGCTGAAAATGTTGTTGATGGCACTGTTTTTATTAATGGAACGGCTTCAATTGCAAGAACAGATGACAATTTCATTTGTGCTACTTTAGATTGGTGGCCCCCTGATAAATGTGACTATGGAACATGCAGCTGGGGCAGAGCTTCTCTACTTAACTTAGTAAGCTGCTCTTATGCAGCTGGGGCAGAGCTTCTCTACTTAACTTAGTAAGCTGCTCTTACTCAGAATTTTTATTAATTTTCCATCTCAGTTTCAGCCAGAATCATCAATTCTTTAATTTTAATTGTCTTCTGTAGGATCTTTCCAACCCAATATTGTTGAATGCCATCAAAGGTATGCAGAATTCAATGTTAAAAAATTGTTCAGAATTTCTTGTATGATCATGTTGGAACTTGGCTTTTGTTCTCATTGCAGCTTTTTCTCCCTTAAAAATCAGACTGGGTGGAACCTTAGAGGATATAGTCATATATGAGAGCAAAGATGGTCACCAACCATGCACACCATTTGTTAAGAATACTTCAGAAATGCTCGGTTTCTCAAAAGGTTGCTTACCCATGTCTCGATGGGACGAACTCAACAATTTCTTCAGAAAAGCTGGGTAACTATTTCCTCAAAAATTTCACCATTTTGATCTTTCTTTTTTCATTGTTAAGTGAAATTCATTCTGAATACAGAGCAGCTGTTATTTTCGGATTAAATGCGCTAAATGGTAGGACAATAAGCTCGGATGGTTCAGCAGTGGGAGCCTGGAACTCCAGTAATGCTGAATCTCTTATAAGATACACTGTCAACAAGGGCTATACAATTTATGGTTGGGAGCTAGGTAAGAACTAACTTGGAAATAAATAATAAGACAGTGATAACTTCTGTTGCAAGTAAACTAGAATTTGAAGATCTCAATGTTAAATAGGAAATGAATTGAGTGGAAATGGAGTTGGGATAAGAGTTGGAGCAGATCGATATGCAGCTGACACAAACGCTCTTCAGAACATTGTGCAAGATATATACAAAGGTTTTGACGTGAAGCCACTGGTCATAGCACCAGGAGGGTTCTTTGATGCAAATTGGTACAAAAAATTCATAGCAAAAACATCCAACTCTCTTCAAGTGGTCACACAACACATTTACAATCTTGGACCAGGTAAAATATCGTTTTTCGCTTGTTGGTTTGTATACTGCAATTGCTTCTATCAAACACAGCCTTTTGCTTGTGATAGGTGTGGATCAACACCTAATTGACAAGATCCTAAATCCGTCCTACCTCGACACCGGCGCTCAGCCCTTTATTAGTCTTCAAGGAATTCTTAAAAGCTCTGCAACTTCAGCAGTTGCATGGGTTGGAGAAGCCGGAGGAGCATATAACAGTGGCCGCAATCTTGTCACAAACGCATTTGCGTTCAGTTTCTGGTGAGCCAGTCCTGACTTTTTTCCATGTAAAATTATCAGTTTTCTTCGCTCACTTATAAAGTTTGAAGTGATTTCTTCCTTTCTTTTTCCATATAACCAAACAGGTACTTGGACCAACTGGGAATGGCATCAACTTATAATACCAAAACATATTGTAGACAGACACTGATTGGTGGAAATTATGGCTTACTAGACACCACAACTTTTGCCCCAAATCCTGATTACTACAGGTAATTTTTTGGTTAATTAATATTAAGACAAGCAATTTGTACATCCGATGAACAGAATTCATTGCTAATAGTGCTGTTGACTTCTGTAGCGCTCTTCTTTGGCATCGGTTAATGGGAAGTAATGTTCTGTCTACAAGTTTCTCTGGGACAACTAAAATACGAGCTTATGCCCACTGTTCAAGAAAATCTGTATGTTAAATCCTAAATTTAAATTCAGAAACAGGTATCAGATTTGACCAGTAAAGTTGTTTAATTTTCATCTTACAGAAAGGAATCACATTGCTCTTGATCAACCTAGATGGGAACACTACAGTTCGAATTCGAGTTTCAACTGAAACTGCTGCTGGCAATGAAGTTGTGACTGTACAACAAACTCAAAGAACAAAATTTGCTAGGATGTCTAGAGATTCTAAAACTATTTATGGGAATAACACGAGGGAAGAATACCATTTAAAAGCTAAAGATGGGAATTTACAAAGCCAGACAATGCTTCTGAATCGGAAAATACTGGCGGTAAATTCATCTGGGGAGATTCCTCCTTTGGAGCCGCTGATCGTCAAGGGAACAGATCCTATTACTGTTGCTCCTTCCTCTATTGTATTTGTTGATATTCCTGGTACAAATTTTCCGGCCTGTATTTAGATTTGGCCGAAGAAGAACTGAAATATTTATGCACTTCAATTGCTTTTCGTTTCTATTAAAGAATAAGAATGTAAAATCACATGCAAACAGGATCGGCCTTCATCATACAATATGCTAATTTAGATTTATAATGATTGATCCATTTGGATGAAGAGTGTTAATTAGGAGAACATCATTGACCTATCTTTAGGTTTTGAAATTAACCCACCCCTGTATAGCTCAAATGGGAGGACGAGTATTGAGATGTGTAGTTAAAGCATATGGTTTCAAGTTCAAATCCTCCTCTAAGTAGAGGGCCATGGCAGGGAGTTACTGCACTAGGTTTTCGAAAAATTTGGAAAACTATTCCATTTTTTATTAAATGGACTTCCAAAGTTTAAAACGTAAGAACATGGCTGACAAACCATAGAAGTCACTGAAAATCTATTTGTCAATTCCATAGCCAGTTGAAGAGTGTATAATTACATTGTCACCGAAATTCTGCCTCACTAAAAGTTCTCATCATAGCCTTGTCTCTGTTTTCAAATGAACTTGAAGTATAACTGTCTTGATTGGACATAAACCTACTCTCAACAATTGCAAAACTCACTTCCTAAATTTGTTTAGGAGAAAAATGCATTCACCAAATCTTTGAGTACGGAGCACAGCGGAAACGACAACATCGTAACTAATTCCAGAATCCATTCAACTTGTAGCTACTTGCTGCTCTTGGAATGCAAGCGGAAGAGCTGGTCTCCAAGCTGTGCCCTCTGGACTGTCCATAAGAGCAACTCCCACAGCAGCTAAATCTTTCCTAATTGCATCAGATTTTTCATAATCTTTGTTCTTTCTCGCCACATTTCTTTCTTCAATTTTTAGCAAAACATGATCTTCAGTTAACTTGGCTCGCTTCAGTGCCTTTTCCCTGAGTTGTTGCAACACCTGAAGCAAAGATCAATAACATTGTCAGATAGGGAGACTACCTCACCTCCAAGAAAATCATAGATCTTAAATTGACTTGGAAAATAGCATCAACATATGTAAATAGGGAGAGAAAAATAATTTGATCAACAGACGCAAATAACATGATATCAAATCACCTCAGAGTAACTTGTGGGCATCAATCCTAGGACAGTAAGAACATTCCTGATTGTCTTTTCAAGAGCAGTAAGTGATTCTAGTCGCTTTGCTTGCTTCTTCCCCTGCATAAATTATTCATTCAATTGTAAATAGTACAAGATAACCTAAACAGGAAGTCGGCAAAGAGTATGAATTTGCAATTTGTAATAAACTGAATCCAAAAGAAAGCAACTTGGCTGATTCTGGGTGAATCAGTTCTGCCATTTTCAGGTCAAATGCATCTCTTAAGTTTGATTTTACAATCACATCAAAAGATTGACTCTTAGGATGCTTAGCTAACATTTAATGTCAAATCAGACATATAAACATCACACATACTCATCATAGAGTTTCTTACAGGCCACAAGCCAAAATCTGTCTAAATATCACAACTTAGGTTACATTTCTTACTCATAAATAATGTATCCAAAATTCAGTACCTTACGTGTGTGCAGCAGATCGTTGATGGTTTTTAATGGGTCAGATAATGCAGCCAAAACAACAGAAGTGTGAAGATCATCTGACATTGAGGCCACAAAATCATTATGGAATTTAACAATGCTATTGACAGTGTCAGGCGGAACTGAATCCTTTCCAATTGCTACATCATGCTGGCTCAGAACACATTCACAGTCATATAGTGTCTGCAATAATTAAATCATGATATTAAACATTTCTTCCACTTAACACGATAGGAAAGCATATAGTATTTTGAAATTTACTTTTGAAAAAGTATTTAGAGGTGAAATATTTCCCATTTCATTCGTCTAAAATGTAAAACTCTTGAGGATTTAAAAATAAAAAATAAATAAAAAAATCATTTTTGAAATGCTCCCATGAATCAATTAAATTTGAAAGTAACATTATATTCAAAACGTAGTATCATCACTTAAGGGACCAAAGCAAATAGATTTCTCAGACCAATAACCTCGGCAGACTAATCCAGGCAGCAGATTACAGGAAGTCAGAGGATACAGATATCTTCATGCTTCACAATGTTGGGATGGTTCAAATAAGAGGGAGAGATTCTATGTTGTAGTACCTGATAGATGTAGAAAATACGCTCAGAAGCACTTTCAAGTTGCAGAACAGAGTAGTTGATTGGAGATTGATAGTGGGTTCCAATTAAGAAAAGTCTCAAAGCAAGAGGATGGTACAATTCTATAACCTGAGGAGATATCAAATGTAATAAAAAAGAAGACACGCGTTAAAATTAAGATGGCCATGATTTGAAACTTATTATAAAAAGTAAGAATGCAACGTCTACTGACAATAAATAAAAAAGGGTAAGAACCACCATTATGTAACAGGTGGAATATTTTACCTGTCTAATTGTGAAGAAGTTTCCAAGGGACTTGGACATTTTTTCTGAGTCAATAGTGACAAAGCCATTGTGTATCCAATAACTTATATTACTATGATTACATGCAGCACAACTCTGAGCAATTTCATTTTCATGGTGGGGGAACACAAGGTCCATCCCTCCACCATGTATGTCAAAAGAATAACCTAGATAAGCAGCACTCATGGCACTGCACTCAATATGCCATCCAGGTCTTCCAGGTCCCCATGGACTCTCCCAAAAGGGCTCCCCCTCCTTAGCAGACTGCAAAATATCAAGAAGAAAAAGGAAAAAAAGAATTATAATAAACTTATAAAATTAACTTCTATGAATATATGATAAAAACTAAGGTTCACCAATCTGAAACTTGATGCCCCTGATTACGGTGAAATGTCAACTTAATTACACAAACCAATGATGTCATCAAGTAACAATGAATGGATGAAAAGTACATGAATTTGAATACATACTGTAAAAGATTGTTATGAAAACCCATTTGTATAACATAAACAAAGGCCTGCCTGAATTGCCAACAGTCAGGCAGATGGTAGACACACATTAGGCCAGACTGCTATCTTCAATAATTTATCACTAACCACATGCTTTTTCAATGTTCATTACAGAGCCCTACCTTCCATAAAGCAAAATCTGCAGGATTTTTCTTTCTTGAGTCTACAGCAACCCGCTCACCAGCTCGATTATCTTCTAATTTTCTCCCAGATAATTTTCCATATTCAGGGAATTTGTCTACCGAGAAGTAAACATCCCCATCAACGCTATAGGCAAACCCATTATCAATAATCTGCCAAGATGGTAAGCCACCAAATTAATAGTCAGATAAAAAATTTGCTAGTAGCAGGCATAATGCACACAACAGAAAGAAGTTTTAATACATAACGTAAAATACAAAAATAACATATAAGACATGAAAGGTTTGAGGATGGCTCAACAACTGAATCAGTTTAACTATCAACTCTCCACAATGCAGGAATAATGCATTTCACTCAACTAAATCAACCAACACTCTAATCATGGGTTAGTGAATCACCTGCTTGATCATGTCAATGATTTGGGGCATATGATCAGAGACACGTGGTTCAACAGAAGGGGGCAAGCAATGAAGATACTCCATATCTTGATGGAACTCTTGACAGTAACGTCTACTCAAACTGATTGGATCCTCCCCCAATTCATTTGCTCGAGCAATGATCTACAGAATTTGAAAATGCAGACTAAGGTATCCTGTCATACCAATATGAAAAAACAGTTGGCATCCAGAAATTAAACCACAATAACACCAAAACCTAGTCGCCAACCTACCAACAACACACACTTTCAACAATGCGTTTATTAAACATCTTCTAATGCATTATCTCTTACCAACAAGACAGGGAAAATATGTCACAGGGAGCTTCTAAACTCTTAGAAACCAAATAAAAAGCTTAAAAAAGTATATATTAATAAAGAAAATAAAATAAAACTTGGATAATGAACAAAGCAGCCAACCTTGTCATCAACATCGGTGAAATTTCGAACATAACAAACTTGATATCCCAGATGCTTAAGATATCTGCCTAATTCCGAAACACAACACATATAACATAATCCAATCAACTATTTTTTGTTTTTGAAAGAATTATATGAATATATTGATGGAGAGAGAAAGAATGAAAGAGAGACCTGTAGAGAACGTCGAAAGTGACATAAACACGCGCATGGCCAATGTGGCTGAGATCGTATGCTGTGACACCACAGACATACATGCCTATTTTACCCTCAACTTTGGATTTAAACAACTCTTTTTTTCTAGTCATGGTGTTGTAGAGCCAGAGCTGAGATGATGGAGTGGCCGACTTATCACCGTCGGTTTTGGTGAAAGTTTTATTATCAATTACAGGTTGGGATGAGCCGAAACAACGAAACAAGCGAGGCTTGTTGGGTTTAAGAGGTTTGAGTTGAACTTTTTGAAATGAGTTTGAGAATGGGAGTAGAGAGAATCGAACCGAGCTTAGGGGTTTACAGAACCTGAGGTTGAGGAGGAGACTCCCCATTTTAAGTGTCGGCCTTCTGTGCTCGCGTGCAAGCGTTCAACTTAACAGACAGGTTTTGTTATCTATAACGAGAGAACGGAGGATCCTGACGAGTTCTGAGTTCAATCTGGGTCAACTCGGGCGAATTTAAATCCTTATCATTTTATTTTTATTTTTATTTTTTTTCATGGACTTTTTTTCTCGTTCCTATCAACACTGTGTGACTTTTGTAGTTTGTTGGCATTTACGTTAATGGATGACATGTAGTTCATGATGCAATCTCATGATCGACATGTAGATTGTATTGTAGGATGAAGTAATGAAATAATCGTAGACCAAAATTAGTTGGTTCAATTCAATTAATTTTGGATGCTGTTACGACTTACGACCATCATCTGTATTTTTTATAAATGCCGGCCCAACGGGTAGGCCCCCAAAAAAAATAAAGCATAAAAAGAGGGTCCAAAATTATTTTAAGATTTTTTTAAATAGATTTACAAACATACTATTTTAACCTAAAAAGTTTATAATTTTTTTATCCAAACCGGTCCAAAGGCCCTAAAAAAGCAAAAAGGCACAAATTCATTATAATTTTTTTTACATAAATTTACAAAAAAACCATATTTTCCATTCATACCCCTAAATTAGCTAAACTAATTATTTAAATGTCTAAAATTTCAAACACTCATTCAATCCCTAAAATGATGAAAATATTGCATCTTTATCCCTCTACACTGCCATAGTGTCACTGTTGACATTAAAGTAATGATTCCGGTCAATTTTCTCACCAAAATCGACCAGATTCATCACTTAATCATTTCCAAAATGTTTTCCCAGCCTTGACAACCCTCAATTTGGCCCATTTTTGCTGATTTTTGAACCCATTTTCATTCTTCACTACGTGCGACAACTATTTCCGATATGTATCCGTTGTTGTTGACCTTCCCCGACACCATCATCTTCGTCCCCTCAGCCCCCTCCCCAAAACCCCTCACTTACCTGACCTTGGTGGCCCGCCATCCACCTCTCACTCCCACAAGAAAAATTATGTAATTTAACTATATTATCAATTAAAAAAGATTTGGTTTCTAAACTTGAATATAAAAGTTTAATTAGTGATTTTGCATCTCAAAAGGCAAGAAAAATAAATTTAAAATAATTTTTTAATATATGCTTATATTATTAAAATGGTCCCAAAATAAACTCTTGTCTAGGATCACAAATGCTCTTGAGAAGTTCATAAAATAATAAAAATAATATGAATAGAAGGCATTGGCATAAATCAAATTTACAACTCAAGTAGTTAACTGATCAACCAACAAAAACTGTTGTACTCCATAGGAAATTTCAGTGTGGCTTCTAAATTAACAGGCAAATATTCTGTCACCAGTATTTCAGCAGTTAGCAACCACAACGATTGTAGTTAGATTGACCTGTGTAAACCCTAACAAAAAAACAAATTCTCCCAATCTCTATCTAAAAAGAATGATCTGATGCCCCACAAATACCGCACCGCAATATGCAACCAACGCGCGCGCATGCACAGCAAGTTGAAAATGCAATGATAATCCTCACAAATTCTAGTTGTATGCCAGAAGTCGAACTAGTTTGTCCAGACAAAGACGAGCTGCCCCTTTGATCAAGCCAAGGCACACACCTTGTCTGAAAAAATAGAATAGAAAGCAGGTTGTCAACAGAAGTTGCATGGGTAGTCACTCTTTTCAAAAAATTTGATCAATGGTTCATACTTCAAATCAACCCTAATCAAGGAAAAGAAACCAACTGCCCTACAGTAAGGCTCTGAAGAAAGGGGATTGTTCTAATCATTTTAGAATATCAAAGTATTTATCCATCTTGTCATTAGATTTGTACATTTCGGTCACTAATTAACAAGTGAAAGACAAACCAAATGTTGACACCAAGGGAGGAAGTTCACCTTGATTAATGCTACTGCAGCAAAGACGATTATCATCTTTATACGTTGCTCGGACACCCATCATCCAGGAACCCACTGATGTATCATCATGTGCATAAGTCTTCAGAGATGCACTACATGCAACAAAGAATGGAACATAAGATTGGAGCTCATGTTGTTGCATTACATTGGACATGTTTCAAGGGTATTATAAATCAGCATAAGTGCATAGAGTCAACAGGCAAACACAATGAAAATTAATAAATTAACCAGAACTTCATAACCGAATAGATCCCCCTTTCTCAACCATATAATTGATAGCTAACCTGTTTATGTTGATATACTGAGCTAAATTTTTGGAGAGCACAATAACTGCAGTAGATGCATGTCGGAAGTACCTGAATGGAGACAAAGTTAGCATACTCAGGACTATCAATAAAATAAGGAAATTTTCCACAATAGAAAAATTCACTTACAGTCACTCACTATACGATCAATAGAACAAAACTAAAATCAAGGAGAACCAAGTCATAAAAAATAAAAGGTGACACGAGACTACAGAAGTATACACAAACCATATAAATTAAGGTATTACCAATGAATTATGATGGTCAATGATACATACAAAAGTGTATGAAAAAGACAAATATGATCAGTGAGTCCCATACTTTCTTGTTATAAGCTAGATCACTTACGATTTCCCATCCCCGAATTTCCACCAATCAGGTTCATACCATTGCTGTCCCCTGAAATTCAAAAAGATTATCAATGAGGAATTCTGGATTGGTATGCTTTTTCCTAGTATTTGAAATGAATTAGGAAATATATTAAAGAACGACAAATTCTGAAACATGAGTGTGAATGTATGTTTAAGATCCACCACAGAGAAACAAGAAAAGCAATCACAATTAAGTCAAATAAGATATGGTAATATACTCTTCTGTTACGACATCTCCTGACTTCATGCATCCAATATAAGCACCATCTTGACCACGACTACGATCAAGAAGTCCAATCAGTCCCTCTGTCATGCCAGGTAACAAGTAGATCAAAAATTTTTGATGAACTAGAATATGTTAATTAATGATATTTTGTAGAAACAGAACGTATGAGAAGATCTACCTAGATCAAGATCAATATTGTCCTCAACCTTTACATAAAACTCTGCATCCCACATTTGAACTGCAGTGCTGAAGAAGTACTTTGCTTTCTTAGGAAACTCTTCTTGAGCTTCCTCATGATTTTCCTGATAGAGATAATATGACATATTCAGTTCCTACATATTACACTTCAGGAACTTCTAGATAATCAACTATTGGAAATCTACTCAATACACAACTGAAAACTTGAAATTTTGGAGGGGAGAAAAAAGGAAGGAGATTGGCTTTTGATCAATTCTGTCTATAAACTATTGGTATACCCCAACAAGAGATTGATCATCAAAATGCAGACGACATAATTAATATTCATCCAGGGTATCCTTCTTTTTTTAAAGGAAAAATGAAAATTTCACAAATTAGATTTTGAAGCATGTTGATAATTGGACTACTCTTGTACCATATGTTCATGATCTATTTCTGGTCATTTATTCAAAATCAATGGTAAAAATTAGAACCAAATAAAATGTAGTAAATTGAATTATTACTGCTTACAAGAATCAAGAAGTCCTTTGTTGTGCGATTTTCCTCATCAATATTCCGATCCAAGCTATCACCACGATTGGCACTGCCAATTTCAAAAGAATAAAATTATTATCAAAGATCATCCATTGTTCTCAAGGCATATAGATATTAACATAAGGTTAGAGCTTGTAGGAAAACCTTCGACCAATAACAAAACGTATGACCACTCCTCTTTCCTCAAGTTTTCTCAAAGCATCATCTGCAAAGACAATAATTTTTAAAATATGCAGATGGAAAGCACATATATTTCTACTTACAGCTACTGATCATATGACATCATAATTTTTTTTGCAACAATCATGGATTTTATTGACACGATCTACGACATCATAAACTGAAAGGGAAAGGATAAGGAAAAACAGAATCCACAAATGTCACAATCTGACAAAATATCACAGATCACATCTTGAAAATGGGTGATACAATAGTAAAGATTTTTGAAATTAACTGCATAACAAGATATAGAATTTTAGCTTCACAATAATAACTTTCATTAAGACATTATCAGAAAGGTTCAAGTTTCATTTAGCTGCAGTCTTCTAACATATAATTAATTGCTTGGAACTAACCTCTGGGCATCCAAGTTCCTCTAAACATATTTCGCTTCAAACGACTACCAAATCCAGTATAAACCCCTATAACAGCAAGAAGCTTTTTTCCTGAAGAAGAATCGCTTTGCTGCAACTGGTTCCTTAGATACCCTTGACTCTTGGCCAATGTCAAATCCATCTCAGCTTCCACAATCCTTCTCTCCAGGTCTCTAAAAGTAATAACACAAATTCAAACACATAGAACCATCTCAACAATGCAAATCAATCAGAGGAAACCACAAAAGAAAAATCAAGTACGTACTTGCATCCAAGGAACATTAACTTATCTTCAACTGTAAGAACCTTGGGTCTCTGCCACACAGAAAACACCATAGATACATATTAAATAAAAGAAAAAACCAAAAACTAATAAGATATCACCAGATGTTGCGATCACTCAATTTGGTTACCAGGATAACACAAGGAACAAAAAGTAAAAATTGTCATTTACTACTGCACTTTCTAGCAACCAAACAGAGCCTAAAGAACCAGAATAATAATATAAAAGCAAGCTTGAGTAAAACCTGCTCTGAATTCTTCTTAAGAAGACTTGTAAGTAATGTTCTGTTCTCAGCATCTTGCCACAGCCTGATTATTAGAAAAACGAAAAGAAACAGGGAAAAAAAAATCATAAATAATACTCTATCATCAGTTTTGTATAAAGGAAAATTTTAACAAATTGTTAGGCACTCGGTAAAAAAAAGGCTCTAATCTTGAACTGAAGCTATAATATAATGACTCAAAATCAATAAAGGAAAAAATCGAGATCGAAGCCAAATCTACCGCTGGAACAATCAAAGTGGTCACATACATTGTAATTAAATACAACAAAGGCATCAGAATTTCACGTATCCAAACACTTTACAAGTACCATTATGTAATCAATTCAGGAGCTACATATAACAGCGGCATACAGTGTTGTTAAAACAATTTGAAAATTAAACTCAGATGTGTTATTTCCAGAACCTAAGGAATTTTCCTACATTTTCTAGGGAACCAAACAGGAGAGAAATAGAGAATGATTAACAGACCGGCCGGCAACGTAGAGCCAAGCAACGCAAGAGAAGAAAGCCATGACAAGCGAAGGTTTGGATGTCTGCAGAGGCTTCGATCTCGACCTCCTCTCGGATTTCGTCGAAGTAGGTAAGCTGTCCATCGCAATTGCTCAATCTAAGTAACAAAGCCGGAGAAGGAGAAATGAACTCTTTATATGAATCTAATGTATTTATTTATGTATATACTATTTGGTGAATGATCGTTTGGTATCAAGTCGTCGTGAATGAATAACACTATAACAGACGAAATGACGGTTACATCAAGGGCCAGGTATGTAAATAAGTCAATTACGGAAAGTTTTCGGCCTTAGAGAGAAAGAATAAACTTTCCAGTAATTTCAAATTATAAATTCAGAGGATCTATCCAGTATTTTCTGATTTTTATTAAAAATAACCTCAAACCCTATAATTTTTCTGAAACATCATATACTCCCTGCTATAGTGCTATGTGCTATCTATACTGATTTGCAGTTCATGTGATTTTAAAAAGGGATAGGGTATNAGAAGAAAGCCATGACAAGCGAAGGTTTGGATGTCTGCAGAGGCTTCGATCTCGACCTCCTCTCGGATTTCGTCGAACTAGGTAAGCTGTCCATCGCAATTGCTCAATCTAAGTAACAAAGCTGGAGAAGGAGAAATGAACTCTTTATATGAATCTAATGTATTTATTTATGTATATACTATTTGGTGAATGAGAAATTTGAAGGTGAGTGACCGTTTGGTATCAAGTCGTCGTGAATGAATAACACTATAACAGACGAAATGACGGTTACATCAAGGGCCAGGTATGTAAATAAGTCAATTAAGGAAAGTTTTCGGCCTTAGAGAGAAAGAATAAACTTTCCAGTAATTTCAAATTATAAATTCAGAGGATCTATCCAGTATTTTCTGATTTTTATTAAAAATAACCTCAAACCCTATAATTTTTCTGAAACATCATATACTCCCTGCTATAGTGCTATGTGCTATCTATACTGATTTGCAGTTCATGTGATTTTAAAAAGGGATAGGGGAATTAATTCAAAAAATCAGGGGTCCAAATGATATTTACTCTTAACTAAAATAGACCACTCTATAACGAGAAGGATATCTGATATTTAAGGAGCCATTCGAAGGATTGAGATACAATGTTTAAATCCATTGTATTTCACTTAATTGATAAAAGAAAAGACCAATAACAATAACAACAGGTGCTTAAACAAAACATTAATGGCAAATACAAAATTTGATAGATTGTCATTATCAAGATTCAAACACAAATGCTAAACAAGCTTTCATGTTAAGTTAAAACCCCCTTTATAGTTTAACTGTTAACATAATCTCAAAAGTGTTTTACACAATCCGGGGCATAAAATAAGTGTACATATCATTCTGAGTGCAAAGAATGGATAATCTGTTTATAGAATCGCTTTGCTCGACATAGCAGACAGCAGAGCCAGCAAACGATGCTCATGAGGGACCAGTTAGGTCCTTAGAAAATAGCAGAAGAGCCCATTTTGAAGGGGTTGGCACTTCCAGTCAAATATCTAACTGCTTCTCGGTAACAAGTTTGCCAGAGAGGGAACCCCTTGACTCCTCATTTCCTCTTGTGCACGTCTCATCTCTTCCGGATCTATCAATAACACAACCGATAGCTATAGTAAGTAGGAATAATGGAACCATTATCAATCAATAATATTTTATGCGTTGTCACCCAAACAGCAACTAATTAGTATACAGTCGTTTCACATAATGTGCTGTCCGTATACATTCTACAATCAAATTGCACAAAATTCAATGGGAGTGGCTAAATCCCTGAAAAATCCAAAAAACATATGTCTCATTCAGTAATGCAGTCAACCCCCATATGTTTCATGGACTTACAGAGAGAAATTGGGAGAGGAGATTCAATATTCTTGATTAATCATCAAGATTTGTGCCTATTAATAGCCTTAAAATTATAATCATAATTGAATAGAAAAAAATTAAGAAGGAAATAAGATTGAAGTAAAATACAAATAAAACTAAAATCCTAAAACCTATTGGATTTTCTAATGAATTTACTCCTACTGTTATTCCTAAGTCTCTAGGGTTTCAAATCAATAGAATATACCACATGAGAAAATTTCAATTTTTACCATTATTTAGCCCAATTTTGAAATTTTGGAAGTTGAAAAACAAAATCCAGGAAAGTAAATGCATTTTTAAGGCAAGCTTGCTCTCCAAGAGCCAAGTCAACCCACATAAATCTACAGCAAGTCAGTCCTTCAAGAGGGCCATGGTTGAAATGTGAAACATAAAACCGTTATAAACCAAATAGAGTACTAACCCATATTCTCCATTAATTTGGGCATTAAAAACACAACCACCACCATAAATCCCAACATGAGACCCATTGGGCTTTTCACGACAGACATTATTGAGAACGGTTCCCTAATCTGCAAAAATGAAAATACAAGAAAACATGAGGCACAGCATGTATAATAATTAAGAACTAATGAACCATTGAGATGAATAGGAACAGGTGAATAAACCTCATAATATTGCTCCTCTCTCAATGGCTCTAGAACCAATTCATTCAGACCCCGCCTGTTCTCTGTCAATGCAGCCTGAACCTTGCCAGGGTTTCTGGCACTAACATCGACTCGGACCTAAGCAGTTTCAAAAGAGTTCAATCATGTGAAATCTGATTCACAAATGATCAAAACTTGACTGAATTTATGGATAGAGAAAACCTACTGGAGAAAAGAAATAGCCAATTGCAGCCACTTCAATTAAATGAGTCCCTGCTGACATGTTATGGCTTAAAGCATACACATTAAGGAAACATAATGTGCTGAAAGAATAATCCACTAGCAGTCCTTCCATATTAATACAAAAATTTATATGTAGTACTAGAAAATAAAAAAATTAATAAACAAAACAAAAAATGGGGAAGATAATAGAATAATAATACAGTTATATAAAAAGTAAAAAGAACAAAAAGAATAATAGTGCTTCAAAAGATGCCACAGTCAAGTTTAAATTCAAATATGCATAAGAAAAACAGCAATAGTAGGATACAATGAAAAGTATCCATCAGGCCTCAGAAATGTTATGCTTCGGCCACCATTGAGTATAACCTTGGCATTTGATATTTTTCCACCAGAAGAACCAAACACTTTCGTGCCCATACCTGCCAAATGCAGAATGCAATAATGATTCTGAAAGTAAATTAATAATCATCACAAAAGAAGACATAATAGGGGAATAAACATGCAGGGAAATACACATGACAACCATAAATAACTATATACATTGAAAACCAAGCCACAGTCAGCAATAACAAAATAATTGTTCTAAGATATTATCTCCACAAATATTTTATTGTCCATCTTGGAACCATCTCTTGAACAACATAGCACCAGAGGCAGCTCCAGCATGTATTCACTAAACTGAAGTTTTTTCAATTTCCTGGCTGAGAACAGCAAATGACTGGCTTCTTAGACCATCTCCAACTCATTGCACCAAATTGGTACAAGTTTTGTACCAAATTGGTGCAAATTTTGGTGTAAAACACTATTGAATCTCCAACCCACTACACCAAATATTACACCAAATAGAATATTCTCTTTCTTTTTCTTTTATTGTAATAATCAACAATTAATCTATTTCACTCATTATTTTTGTATATATTAATTAAATATTGGGAATGATATTTTTATTAAATAATAATTACTTTGAAAATTATACTAATTTAATAAAATTAAGAATTTATTTAATCAAATAAATATTACATTTAATATAGAAAAACATTACATCTAATATAAAAGGGATTATACAAAAAAAAAAAAAAAAAAAAAAAAACAACAACAACACAAATGTAAAATTCCAAATTGATAAATTTAATTTTCGAATTAGATGTTCTTCCCACAAATGATCAATTAATGTATTCGAAAGCATGTTGAGCCTTTTTATCCTTGATTTATCTATGTTGAGCGAAAATTTTGAAATCGAACTTTTTCATCTACGACAAGCTTTTAAGATTTGTAGCTAATTCAAAAAGATGTATGTCTATTCAACTTTTTAGATTATAACTTATTTCAAAAGATATTATTCATTCAAACTCAAAAGATATGGTCCATTCAAGCTTTTTAGATTTAGTGTTTTTAAATTAGTGTTAATTTTTATTTTTAGTTATTGTAGTAATATTTGCATTGAATAAAGTTATTTTTAATTTTTCATCATTTTTGGTGTAAAATTTAATAATCAAAATATCAAATTAACTTACACAAATTAAAAAAATTAATATATTGACATTGGCGTGGCGCTACAGTGCTACGCCAAATTAACGTGACGCTCAACGTTGGGTTGGAGCAAAAACCCACGCCATTTTGGTGTTTTTACACCAAAATGACGTGGGTTGGAGATGCCCTTAGCTGCACTGATGATATGCTGAAATATTTCAACATTTTGAAGAGGAAATTTAATACCAAATTTGACGAGTGTCTTCAAGAAGTGTGTTATACTCAACGTAAATGGGAAAAGGCTTAGGGTCCTTCCATTGTAGTAAAACAACAAAGAGCATATATATTTGACAATAGATCAAAAATAAAAAAGCTAAACCCAGAGACAGCAAAATATGCATAAAATGGTCAACCAGCAACGATAAAGCACTATTTAAACTTTTATTCCTTCAACATTATGCGGACTTCTCTTAATTATTACCCGCTATTCAATAATCAAGGCATAAATTAACACGAAAATCTCACAATAAACAATGTAACTTAAGTGAAATAGGATAAATTGAAATATGAGAAAATTAACCCAAACTTTCAAAATCTATTGATCTAAAGAGAATTAAAATTAAATCTTCTTAAAAGCACACCTGAAATCTTCACTCTACCACTGATAGTGTAGCCATCAGCAGACCTGCAAAAAACAGAGAAATAAATAATTATATGTAATGAAAGACAACTCTTCCTCTGTTTGGTTTCCGAGAAAATTGATGTGTAGCAATTTAGGTAACAAATACACAAAAACCAAACATCAACTGGCCGGCCGTATCGAATTATATAAAAACAAAAAACTATTAAAAAAAAAAAAAAAATCAAAAGGAGCAATCACGAAAGTGTACAGCTCGTACCCAGGCGACAGCGCAAGGGCGGAAGAGATAAGAGAAAGGCATAACTGCAGGAAAAGTATCGCAAGAAACGGTTTAGATCTGAAGGTGGACACCATATTAGAAGAGATTTGCGGAGAGTCGAGTCCAACAGCTAACGATGAAAACTAAAAGAACGCTTGTGTTCCGCTCTGCTCTGTATTGGGTAATACAGTCTCTATTTTGGTTAGTTTTATTATGAAATCTGGAACGTTGATAGCTTTTGTGGGCCAACCTAATTGGATCGAATGGTGATGCTCCACGGCAATACGCTGCGCTAGCGCTACTTAAACAGCACATTGCTAAACCCGAGTTAAACTATAATTTTTGTACCTTCAAACTTCAATCCAAATTTAATTCTTTAAAAATATAAATTGATTAATTTAAATCAATCAGTTTGCTCTATTGAGTCTCAAATTAACTAGTTAAATTTAAGTAATTTATGTTATCCACGTCCTTTTATTCTTTTAATTTTTTTTCTAGAAAAATTAGTGTTGCAATCGAACATGACCAAACCAAGTATTTAGAAGCTCGAGCTTGATTTGATTACAATCGAGTCAAAATCGAGCTCGAGCAAATCAAGCTCGAGGTTGACTCAGTTGCAATCCAATCAAAAATGTAATTATTAGTAGCTATGCTAATTTATATATATAATATTACTATAAAATTTAAAATATTACATAATATGCCAATTTCGAGTCAAACTCACAAGCTACTCGAATCGAGTATTATTAGACTTGAAATCAGCTCTACTCGAGTGAAGCTCGAGCAGCTCGGCTGCCTAGGAAAAATGCATGTAAAAGAAATTAAAAATTATATGCACAGAAAATTAAAAAACAAATGATTTTTCTTTTTCTTTTTTTCTACCAAAAGGGATTGTCTACATTTATGGCAAGACAACAAAAATTTCATTTACAGAATCAATTTTAGTTCACAAATTACAGAAGTAACTTCATCCTCTTCTTTTGAAAGCCAAGAACTCATACTGAGGAGGAAGAGTACAATGTTAAATCAGATACAAAATGGAAGGGAGAATGCCCCAGTAAAGAATTTGGATTTGCCAGTTTTACGCAATGCTATAGTCCCAGCTTCTTTGAGAACCAATCTGAAAGATTTGCTATTACAAATCCTGCAAAAACCTGCAACAACATCAAAAGAGCATTATACATAAAACATGTAGCTGCTGCTAAAAAAGTTGATTGAGCCATATGATGTAATCAGAATGAAGTGATTTCAATTCTTAAAATTGCAATTTCCTTGATCTTCTTATTGAATGCTTAAATACCCAGTTCACTTTCATATCTAAACGAGAAAAGATGACTCATGGCTGTATGTGTCGTGTTTCTGGGGGGTAATTAAGAGAAAAGAATATCTTCGTAAACATAATCTTTTCAATTAATTCAGAATATTCTCAAGACAGATGCGTCTTTATGATAAATATCATACCTGAGCTGAGCCAAGAATGTATATTGCTGAGTAGTGACGGCCATGAATGACCATGTCTGCCACCATAGCGAGTGGAATGGTGAGTGACATCCCCAATGTGGCCACTAGCGGAGTGGTCCATACAACACATAATGCCCTGGAGAGAAAAAAAGGATAAGAAAAACTACAAGGTTAAGAAAATGCAAATACCTATAGCACCAGTATGAAAACAGGTTGTTTGACATACCAAAAGTAATCTGAAAGGACACTACCAACAATGCCATTGGCAATAACAACTTCATCCATTTTAGCTGAATGAGGAATCGTAAACTTGGGCTCGATGCCCAAGGCTGACAATGGCCAAACTGAAACAAAAGTCAAGCAGACAATTTGTGTGTGAAAAACTTAATGAATCAATCTAATAGGTGACATATAAATGCATCAATAATTAAAACGATTCTTACCCAGCCACCATAGAGCTACAAGTGTGAACAATCCTATATATCCAAACAACTTTTGTACATCAACTCTTTCTCCTTCCTCACCACAAAACTTTTTAAGAAGCACTGCATCATTAGGTTGTTAAGTAAAAGGTATCGTCATACTTTGTCGAAATACAGTAGAAGAAGGACAATGAAATTCGTAAGAGAGACTATCTAACCTGTGAATAGTCCATATGACACGGCCGAGAGAAGGCCAAAAAGATCTCCAACCAAAGAGCGTTTCCCATTGCTAAACACAAATATTTACAGTCAATGCCAAAAACTCATACATTACAAAGAGCAAGCTAATAGAGAAGTATGTGAATAACAGGCTGCCAGAAATATCAGTAACTATATATATACTCATAAGGGTCTGCTTCTTGATTTCTTAAAGCAGATCAGGTAATGGGTCAATCACAGCAACAAGGCTCTATACTTTTCGTTAAAACAAAAACAATTCCAGAGGGGCACACTTTAAGTATAACCCCTCATATATAAGAGAAAGAAAAGCCATGAAACATAATAGGCAGGGAAAAGTTGAGGCGATAGGGAAAGTTTATTAACCACAAGCTTTATCTTCTCAGAATCCAAAAATAAATATCACGGTTCAAAATAATACAATAAATTGATAGATAAGAAGAGAAAACACATTTTGAACTTAAGAGCACTAGAGCTGGGATAATTGCTAACCCCTTACCTCTCTTTCTTCCTAACTATATTGACTGGCAGCACTAGTTCATTTTTAATAAGAAAAATATAATTATCCAGCACTAGTTCATTGTTAATAAGAAATTTTCCCAGATGCTACCAAGTAGTGGAAGTCTTGTATATGTACAAGTTAAACATCAATAATAAGGTCCTCTGTTTCATTTAATAGCACTGAAACAAATATAACCCTAATAAAATGGAACTCAACATTATCTAGGCCTAACCAATAGAGATAGAAAGAAAACTCTGTTTGGTTTCCGAGAAAATTGATGTGTAGCAATTTAGGTAAAAAATACACAAAAACCAAACCTCAATTGGCCGGCCGTATCGAATTATATAAAAACAAAAAACTATTAAAAAAAAAAAAAATTCAAAAGGAGCAATCACGAAAGTGTACAGCTCGTACCCAGGCGACAGCGCAAGGGCGGAAGAGATAAGAGAAAGGCATAACTGCAGGAAAAGTATCGCAAGAAACGGTTTAGATCTGAAGGTGGACACCATATTAGAAGAGATTTGCAGAGAGTCGAGTCCAACAGCTAACGATGAAAACTAAAAGAACACTTGTGTTCCGCTCTGCTCTGTATTGGGTAATACAGTCTCTATTTTGGTTAGTTTTATTATGAAATCTGGAACGTTGATAGCTTTTGTGGGCCAACCCGTAATTGGATCGAATGTTGTTGCTCCACGGTAATACGCTGCGCTAGCGCTACTTAAACAGCACATTGCTAAACCCGAGTTAAACTATAATTTTGTACCTTTAAACTTCAATCCAAATTTAATTCTTTAAAAATATAAATTGATTAATTGAAATCAATCAATTTGTTCTATTGAGTCTCAAATTAACTAGTTAAATTTAAGTAATTTATGTTATCCACGTCCTTTTATTCTTTTAATTGTTTTTGTGAAAAAATTAGGATTGCAATCGAACATGACCAAGCCAAGTATTTAGAAGCTCGGGCTTGATTTGATCACAATCGAGTCAAAATCAAGCCCGAGCTTGACTCAATTGTAATCGAATCAAAAATGTAATTATTAGTAACCATGCTAATTTATATATATAATATTACTATAAAATTTAAAATATTACATAATATGCCAAGTTCGAGTCAAACTCGCAAGCTACTCGAATCGAATATTATTAGACTTGAAATCAGCTCTACTCAAGTGAAGCTCGAGCAGCTCGCTAGCGCTTGGCTGCCTAGGAAAAATGCATGTAAAAGAAATTAAAAATTATATGCACAGAAAATTAAAAAACAAATGATTTTTCTTTTTCTTTTTTTCTACCAAAAGGGATTGTCTACATTTATGGCAAGACAACAAAAATTTCATTTACAGAATCAATTTTAGTTCACAAATTACAGAAGTAACTTCATCCTCTACTTTTGAAAGCCAAGAACTCATACTGAGGAGGAAGAGTATAATGTTAAATCAGATACAAAATGGAAGGGAGAATGCCCCAGTAAAGAATTTGGATTTGCCAGTTTTACGCAATGCTATAGTCCCAGCTTCTTTGAAAACCAATCTGAAAGATTTGCTATTACAAATCCTGCAAAAACCTGCAACAACATCAAAAGAGCATTATACATGCAACATGTAGCTGCTGCTAAAAAAGTTGATTGAGCCATATGATGACATCAGAATGAAGTGATTTCAATCCTTAAAATTGCAATTTCCTTGATCTTCTTATTGAATGCTTAAATACCCAGTTCACTTTCATATCTAAACGAGAAAAGATGACTCATGGCTGTATGTGTCGTGTTTCTAGGGGGTAATTAAGAGAAAAGAATATCTTCGTAAACATAATCTTTTCAATTAATTCAGAATATTCTCAAGACAGATGCGTCTTTATGATAAATATCATACCTGAGCTGAGCCAAGAATGTATATTGCTGAGTAGTGACGGCCATGAATGACCATGTCTGCCACCATAGCGAGTGGAATGGTGAGTGACATCCCCAATGTGGCCACTAGCGGAGTGGTCCATACAACACATAATGCCCTGGAGAGAAAAAAAGGATAAGAAAAACTACAAGGTTAAGAAAATGCAAATACCTATAGCACCAGTATGAAAACAGGTTGTTTGACATACCAAAAGTAATCTGAAAGGACACTACCAACAATGCCATTGGCAATAACAACTTCATCCATTTTAGCTGAATGAGGAATCGTAAACTTGGGCTCGATGCCCAAGGCTGACAATGGCCAAACTGAAACAAAAGTCAAGCAGACAATTTGTGTGTGAAAAACTTAATGAATCAATCTAACAGGTGACATATAAATGCATCAATAATTAAAATGATTCTTACCCAGCCACCATAGAGCTACAAGTGTGAACAATCCTATATATCCAAACAACTTTTGTACATCAACTCTTTCTCCTTCCTCACCACAAAACTTTTTAAGCAGCACTGCATCATTAGGTTGTCAAGTAAAAGGTATCATCATACTTTGTTGAAATAAAGTAGAAGAAGGACAATGAAATTCGTAAGAGAGACTATATCTAACCTGTGAATAGTCCATATGACACGGCCGAGAGAAGGCCAAAAAGATCTCCAACCAAAGAGCGTTTCCCATTGCTAAATACAAATATTTACAGTCAATGCCAAAAACTCATACATTACAAAGAGCAAGCTAATAGAGAAGTAAGTGAATAACAGGCTGCCAGAAATATCAGTAACTATATATATACTCATAAAGGTCTGCTTCTTGATTTCTTAAAGCAGATCAGGTAATGGGTCGATCACAGCAACAAGGCTCTACACTTTTCGTTAAAACAAAAAGAATTCCAGAGGGGCACACTATAAGTATAACCCCTCATATATAAGTGAAAGAAAAGCCATGAAACATAATAGGCAGGGAAAAGTTGAGGCGATGGGGAAAGTTTATTAACCACAAGCTTTATCTTCTCAGAATCCAAAAATAAATATCACGGTTCAAAATAATACAATAAATTGATAGATAAGAAGAGAAAACACATTTTGAACTTAAGAGTACTAGAGCTGGGATAATTGCTAACCCCTTACCTCTCTTTCTTCCTAACTATATTAGCTGGCTGCACTAGTTCATTGTTAATAAGAAAAATATAATTATCCAGCACTAGTTCATTGTTAATAAGAAATTTTCCCAGATGCTACCAAGTAGTGGAAGTCTTGTATATGTACAAGTTAAACATCAATAATAAGGTCCTCTGTTTCATTTAATAGCACTGAAACAAATATAACCCTAATAAAATGGAACTCAACATTATCTAGGCCTAACCAATAGAGATAGAAAGAAAACTTACGCAGCAGCACTTAATTGTGACTCATCAGCAGCCCAAGTTTTTCCAAGAGTAGTCATGGCAACACCAGCCATGCTGACAAAGACTGCAACTACTTTTGACACATTTAATTTATCTTCCCCCAGGAAAGCACCAATGAAAAGTGTAAAAAGTCCAGAAGTTGATGATAACACTGTTGTACTCGCAACACTTGTACGCGCAAGGGCAGCATTTGATAAATACTGCAAACAAAAAATTTCATTAGCAAGAAAAATTGTTCATATGCCCATATATATCAGCAAATAGCTTAGATAATTTAACAGAAATACTTCTTTTTATGGCAAAAGTATGCCTGTATGACGGAAGCAACTTCAGAAGCACCACTGAATAAAAAAAAGGAATGCAAATTACTGAAGCAAAGTATTTACAAAAAGCTCAGTTAAACAAGGGGGCAAGATCTCTGTTCATCTTTTTCAGAAAACCTACACAAAACTCACAAGCAAATAGTTATACAAGTTAAATGAGTCCAACCAGTAAGTGTGAAGACCACGCTTCAGGCACTTATCCTTTAATTTCTTCAAAAGAAGAAAAAAAGGCATCCTAGTTATGTTAGTCAGGTAATAAAATCCTGAAGATTGACTGACATCACTTTAAACCAATTCTACAAAACATCAGCAATGCTGCTCTTTTTAGTTATTAGGCCCAGACAACTTTCTGTTACTTGTGTAATGACATTTAAAAAGCAAAATGTGTTGAACAGGTTCAATGGTATTACATGTATAATGACAATGATGATAAAAGTAGTTGATGTAAATTGAAGATTGTCCAAATTGAAATTCAAAAACAAAGAATAATCCCACAAAAACTGGCAAGGTTAGAAAATTACCTCTGTTAAAAACCAGATAGGGGCAATATAAAATCCAAACTTTGCAACCTCCTTGGTTGTAAGCTCTTTATGTGAGTCATCTTTGAGTTTCGAAACCAATGGCAATCCCTCCTCATGAGATGATAAATCCACTTCACTGTCTTTTCTAGTGTATGTTCCTTGAAGCTCCATTTCAAAAATTTTGTGTCCTAAAGGAGAATCAAGTGCAGCAGAAGACCCATTCAGACTTTCTGCATCTTTACCACTTTTAGATGAGCGACGCTTTAGAAAATTACATAACCAATCTTTAATGAATGCTATTGGGAGGTAAACTACCATGAGAGAAGCTCCTAGATATGTCACTGCAAATGGCTGCTTGTAGTCGGTAAAGATACCCTGTTGAACAATATCAGTTAGCTTATACTAGCTTACTTGCATATTTACACAGCGCATTATTAGGAAAGACACAAAGAATTCAGCAGTTCTAAAGAAAATCAGAAATCAGAAAAAAGAGAAAAAAAAAAAAAAAGTTCTTTCAGCAAACGCATGAACAAAAATCCAGATATCTCCATATAGGTAACTGGACGGCAAAAGGAACATCATCTTACACGAGACCCCTGTTGAATCACAATCATAAATTCGAAATTACAAGAAACTTTCGGTAGATACATATAGTAATTCTTTACTTGAAGCTATTTAACTGCACATTCTAGTATAATACATTACGGTCGAGAAGATTGGATAGCTTAAGCCCTAATTTTCATTACATAAGAACAATCACTTCAAATAATTACCTGCCCATTCAAGCACCAAGTATAAGCAATTAAGCATATCAATAACAAAAGAAGTCAACGCTCAGAGTCAACGCAGTTGTCCATAGATAAGTTTCAATATATTGCTTTTTCAAGTCCTCATTTAGGTTTTCCAAAAAGTTCTTTTTCAAATTCCTATAACACATAACAAGTATATTCAAATACAACCCAATTCCTTCTTCATTATCAAGTTCTAAACTAAATAGCAATAAGCAAGCTACGAGTCAACCAACCCTGCAATCAAAACTCCTAACAACTGGGGTCCTATAAACCCAATTCCAACCGGATCATATTGATATAAACAGAAAACAAATCAAAGAAAGAAAATATAAGAAAAAAACTGACCTGGGTGACTTCTGCAGAGGTGACCCATATAATAACAACAGCAGCTATCAAGAACAAACCAGCTCTATATCTCCAACTCATTGTAAAATCAAATCAGAAACAAGCAGAAAGATCTGTTATTCCTTTCAGATCTTTAAACTTGTTAACTTTATTTACTTTTCACTCCGCCCCCTCGCCGACATGTAACGTAATGTAACTTAACTTTGGTGGGATCTCAGCTCCAGCTAGCGTGTGCTTCAATGCTCTTAACAATCTTGGTTTGAAGAATAACAGAGGCCCGAAAAAGAAGGGAAAAAAAAAAAAAATTAAAGGGAGTAGGAGCCCAGAAAGAGAGGCGGATTCTATTTCTTGCAAAACAAAAAGAATAATTAAATAACAAACTGTTAAATTTAATTTAAGTTTCTTGCACTAATCCGTCTCTTTCTTTGGCTCGCAATTGGTTGTCATATTGGTCACACGTCAGCATTATTTTGAGATTGCGGTCCCACTCAACTCAAATTCATGGTTGTCTTTGACGCCCGTCTAACTACTTCATAATTTTTTTTTTATGATCGGATTTGATTAATTCCCGAGATTTTGAAGGTAATTATCTAATAAACTCTTAAATGACCACCTTACTAATTATCGCAAAGAAAATTGAGAAAATTGAATTGAAGATCTTCTAAGTAATACATCAAAAAAATATTATCCTCCCACCCTTATTATTTTATAAATTTATTTTCTTTTTTAAAAATTAAAGTAAAAAAAAGATTCTTAATGAGGAATTAATCTCACATAATCAATCTAATTTTTCATAGAAATAACTTGCTTGGATTGACAGGGCCCGTGGAATTTTTATCAATTAAAAATTCTTTAGCCATGTGAGGGAGTTGAAACAAACAGAATGAAATTACTGCTGAAAATTATCTTGTCCAGCCACTGCTGCAGAAACATCAACACATCATCAAGATGATATACCCTTCAGACTTTTATATACTGTTGTATATTCATATAAAAAGGAAGAACCAGGCTTGTTAATGGTGGCTCAAATGTCAAATCTCATCATATTTGGAAACCATAATAAACAATCCTTGCTACAGCTAGCTAACTAACACCAAACAGATGTAATGCTTTGTCTAGTCACAAACATAATGGCTGCCCCCACTTCTGAAACTCCAGGAGCTTCCAAGTTAATGGCTTCAGCTAATAAAATTATAATTTGTTTTCTTTAATCTTCAATCTAATTTCAAGGTGAAGAACCCCATAGAACTTCTGCAACAATTGAGGCTGACTCTGCTTCAGAAACTGAGGTCTCTCTCACTCTTTTAAGTATTTCTAATTTGATTTCTTTTTTCTCCTTTAGACTCAACCCTTCTCCCACTTCTACTTGCACTGCAAATCTAGCTACACAGTTTAGAAATGGGCAATTGTGTAAGGTTATTTCCTCTTCACCCACCTCTATTGTTGTGTCAGATTTTGAATCTTCTTCTTCACAAATCACTACCATCTCATTATCAATGTAGTCATCTGTTTTGATAAAAAATTTTCCATGTTTTGATCTTTGCAACTCCATGAGCTTATTAATCAACCCTTGTTCTAGCATAGCTTCAATCACTTCTCTTCTTCCAAAATATGCAATTTGACAAATGCAATCCATTGCTGCAACTTGAATGGACAAGTCTTCTGAGTTCAAAAAACTGATAATGTTTGGGATTTCTCCCCTACAGTGAATTTCATCAATTAATGGACTTCTGATTAAACTGATGAGTGAACTTAGAACTTGAATTGAACAACTAGACTCCATTGATATCAAGTTTTGAATTATTGATCCCATTAACACAAGCCCCACAAACACATTCCTATTAAAGCTAGCTAAAGCTTCAATAGCAAGAGCTGCAAGCTCTCGAACTCTCTTTGAACAAGTAGAGTCACAAAGTAACATTTCAAGAACTGAGAATACCTTTGCTTTCAAAATCATTTCTTGAAAATCTCTATCGAAACCTTGTGATACACGCTTTATAAACTCAATCAACACTTTCACTTTCTCCTCCTCATTCTCTAATTCTTCAAGTATCTTCACAAGACTTTGAACACTTTTTCGATCAAAATACGCTTGAATTTCAGCCTCAATCGCATATGCAACTTGGGAAATCTTGTATTTGGTGATTTGGCGGCAAAGGAGGGATTTAAGGCCATAACCTTGATATTTTTCAAGCTTTTCCAGTAGGGTTTTGATGTTGCGAAGAAGTTGAGAGAGCTTGGAGAGATATGGGTTTGTTGAGAGAATGGGGTGAGCTTTTGTTTGAAGGTCTAACAATAGTTTGACGGATACATCATGGGGATTGTTTATAGTGAAAATGGGGTTGTTTTGTAGATATTTTGAAGCGTTTTTAAGAGTTTCAAGTAATTTTGAAACATCCTGATCTTCTTGATTCAGAAATCGGTCCATGTCTCTGCTTAAACCCTAAGCTTGGTGAATAATTGAGTCCGCTGGAAGGGAGAAACAGTAACAGACAGAATAGAGATAACTCGGCAACCAGTCTTATCAAAATATCAATACCAACCATTCAAATACTGTCACCAGTCTCGTCATCATACCAAACATACTCACTTTTATTAGGTCTCACTGTATTAACATGATTAGTTCTTCTTTCCTAGAAACTTCCCAATTTTTCTAAAGTCTAATCTAAATCTAAAACCCGGGACAAGCCAGGATTGTCAGAGAGAGATTGGGCTTTTGGGCTTCAAAATAAAGAAAAATTAACAAATAGAATGGGCTCTAGATGAGCTTCCCTTCATGGATTAAGGATCCACTCTTGACAAAATTCTAGTGCAGAAAGCAACAATTATGGTCCGGGTTGGTTCTTTATTCCCCAAATAACTGTTTATTTTATTATTTAAAAAATATTATTATATTTTATTTAATTACTTTTAGATTTTTTAAATTTATTAATTTAATTAAATATTTTTAAAAAAAAGTTTAAAAATTAACAAAAACAACCTCACACATCCATAGTTGTCAGATTCTAATAACCATTATCGGTGGTAGTCAAAATCTATCACAATGACTTAAAAACGATCGAAATTGATCGTTAATTTACCTAAATCTGGCCATCAATAACGGTCAAAGAAATGACCATCAGTGACGGTCAAAGAAATCACTGTCAACTCTTGGTTAAAAACTAAAAGAGTAAACAACTTTTTTTTATCAAAATAATGGTTTAATTATACTTTTATATTTAAAATATTATTTTATTAATTAAATTTATATTTGGTATTTTATTAAAATCTAATATTTTATTATTAAAAGATATATTATCCTCTTTTTTTTATAAAATCTCTAATAGTTTTGAATAAAACTTGAGTGATAAATTGGTATTTTAAAAGTTTTTAAACAAAAAAGCGTCATTTCAGGCGCTACAATCCAGGAGCTTGATCGGATCTAAAATTTGCTGAGTCTGTTGTCCATAATACTACAGCACAGCGACCAAGTCCCTGCTACCTTATACTAGCCGACGTCATTCCCTGCTATCTTACGCTTTCTATGGCTCATATTTAAACTATCCAGCTCAATTTCTCACCAAACAAACAGCTCACTCTATCACACAGTAACATTCAAACACAACAGCAATGTTAGCATCGTTTCATCAACTCCTGCTCTTTGTATTATTGTTTATAATTATCTCAAGTGTTGAACACGGAAGTGCGAGGATCACAAGTAGTTTTGTTCGTAATGAATGGCCAGCTGTTGATATGCCTCTCGATCATGAAGTCTTCGCCATTCCTGAAGGCTACAATGCGCCACAGCAAGTAGGAATTCCTATGAGAGAGATCAGTTTCGTTATAGGTAATATGGCCGTCCATGCATTTTAATTTTTGTTTTGTTGGTGAAGGTGCGAATCACGCAAGGAGACTATGAAGGAAAGGGTGTAATAATCTCATGGGTTACACCAGATGAAACGGGATCCAATAAAGTAGAGTATGGCAAGTCCAAGAACAAATATGAGTTTACCGCTGAAGGGACAGTCACAAACTACACCTTTTACAAATATAAGTCTGGTTACATTCATCACTGCCTTGTTGACAACCTTGAGGTAAATATTTGGAACTGGTTGTCGCAGTTTCTACAATGCNCTTATACTAGCCGACGTCATTCCCTGCTATCTTACGCTTTCTATGGCTCATATTTAAACTATCCAGCTCAATTTCTCACCAAACAAACAGCTCACTCTATCACACAGTAACATTCAAACACAACAGCAATGTTAGCATCGTTTCATCAACTCCTGCTCTTTGTATTATTGTTTATAATTATCTCAAGTGTTGAACACGGAAGTGCGAGGATCACAAGTAGTTTTGTTCGTAATGAATGGCCAGCTGTTGATATGCCTCTCGATCATGAAGTCTTCGCCATTCCTGAAGGCTACAATGCGCCACAGCAAGTAGGAATTCCTATGAGAGAGATCAGTTTCGTTATAGGTAATATGGCCGTCCATGCATTTTAATTTTTGTTTTGTTGGTGAAGGTGCGAATCACGCAAGGAGACTATGAAGGAAAAGGTGTAATAATCTCATGGGTTACACCAGATGAACCGGGATCCAATAAAGTAGAGTATGGCAAGTCCAAGAACAAATATGAGTTTACCGCTGAAGGGACAGTCACAAACTACACCTTTTACAAATATAAGTCTGGTTACATTCATCACTGCCTTGTTGACAACCTTGAGGTAAATATTTGGAACTGGTTGTCGCAGTTTCTACAATGCTTTTTTTGCATTTTCATTCAGTATTCTTGTCTAGTTTTATGCTAACGTTTGTATTGATTTCTGGTCTTTTTTAGTATGACACAGAGTACTATTACAAGCTTGGAGCTGGTGAGTCTGCTCGTGAATTTTGGTTTCAAACACCCCCAAAGATTGATCCAGATGCTCCTTACACTTTTGGAATTATTGGTTAGATCTTCCCATCCTTGCACAGTCTTAAATACAATGCTAGTTTCATTTTCTTTCATTCTTAATTAATTGGATTTTTATATTGTAGGTGATTTGGGTCAAACATATAATTCTCTTTCAACTTTGGAGCATTACATGCAGAGTGGGGCACAGGCTGTTCTATTTGTTGGTGATCTCTCTTATGCAGATAGATATAAATACAATGATGTTGGCATTAGATGGGATTCATGGGGCCGCTTTGTTGAGCGAAGTGCAGCATATCAGCCCTGGCTTTGGTCTGCTGGGAATCATGAGATTGAGTACAAGCCATACATGGTATTTCCAATATGAATTCAATCTTGTGCTATATTGACTACTTTATGCTTTTCAGAGTAGTATTTGATTTGATATTGCATATATGTATATATAAGCATTTATTTCTGTAATGTAGTTGATGAAAAGTTAGCATTGTTCTCTTTCAGAATACTTCTACAAAATTCTCTTCTTGATACTTTACGCACCTCTTGTTGATACAGCAAACATGTTAGGGACATTGAAATCATAGTAATTCATCCACTGGTTAATTCTGCTTATTTCACACTTAAGTTTTTTAAGCTAAGTATTGCTTTTTTGTTTATGATTTTTGAATGAGTGTATTTTTCAGGGGGAAGTCACTCCATTTAGATCTTATCTACACAGAATCGCTACACCTTATCTCGCTTCAAAAAGCAGCAGTCCACTATGGTATGCTGTAAGACGAGCATCTGCTCATATCATTGTACTATCCAGCTATTCTCCATATGGTAATCTCTCTTTAATTTATATCTATACAAATATCAAGTTCCAATTAAATGCAGATCACCACTGTTAAGTTCCTATTTTGCAAATGCTAGTTCATGCTTTTTTGGATCAGTGAAATATACACTTCAATGGCATTGGTTGAGAGAAGAGCTGAAAAGAGTGGAGAGGGAGAAGACACCTTGGCTTATTGTGATCATGCATGTGCCCATCTACAATAGTAATGTAAAGCACTACACGGAAGGTGAAAGCATGCGAACTGTTTTTGAGAACTGGTTTGTCAAGGCAAAAATTGATTTCATCTTTGCCGGCCACGTTCATGCCTATGAAAGATCAGTAAGGATATCTTTTCCTTTTTGTTTCTGTAAATTCTATGGGTTAAATCAAAGTTTTAATGGAACGAGTTCTAGTCAATTTAAAGAAAAGTCAGAATAACCTAAATGCTTAATGCCACATTGCCACTCAGCAATTCCAGCGAATATAGCCATAACTCTCATCAGTTATAATTTTGTAAATTTGCAGTATCGCATCTCAAATATACACTACAATATATCAAGAGGTGACCGGTATCCAGTACCTGACAAATCGGCTCCAGTGTATGTAACAGTTGGAGATGGAGGAAATCAGGAAGGTCTTGCTGCAGAGTAAGAAAAATATTTCTGTGCAAAGCTTCACAAATTAGATTTGAGTTGAAGTGCTAGTATACTGATCTTTGCAACTTATTATTAGGTTTATAGACCCTCAACCTGAGTATTCTGCATTCCGTGAAGCCAGTTACGGTCATTCTACATTGGAGATTAAGAACAGAACTCATGCATTCTACCATTGGAACCGAAATGATGATGGAAAGAAAGTACCAATTGATTTTGCAGTATTCCACAACCGGTATTGGTATGTTTCTCTTTCTCACTTAATTGGCATTGTCTTTCAAACCTCATGACTAATCAGAAATGGTAGAAACTAGAAAATCTATAAAACTGAAGCACCATTAATTAACCAGTATTTTTTATGTGCATTTTAACAATGCTAAGATGGGAACATGCATCCTCTAATTATCAGTTGTTCACAGCACTATCATGATACCATATAATTAAACTTGGTGTCTACAGGGCTGGCGGTCAGCAGAGGAGGAGAATCAAGAAGAATTATCTCAAGTCTGTAACAGGAAATAATTGATGAAACCTGTTGAAGTTCAAATAATTCGTTCTTTGAATCCTTTTGCTTATGTCAACAAGGCAGATCTCTCGGGTGCTAGTTAATTTTGTTAGTGGATTTGCCACCCCAGATGCAGGGCAATGAACAAAGACATATTTAATGTCTAGTGAGTCTGCACTGAATGGTTTTGTAATGACTCCATTATCAATGATAATGGTGACTGATTTTGAAAATTCAAGGAATAACTTCGTTTATCATGGGATGTCTACTTCTTTCTATGTGTTTTGCTTGATCCAAACAGTCTTATATGCAATTTTGATAGACAAGTCCCTGTTGAAGCTTACATGAGATTTTGTATTCCTCATCCTGATTCAATCTTTTATTGGTCTATAAGATATAAAAAGAAAAAAAAAAATCAACCAATATGCTCAATATAAACAATAACAGAAACTCCACTCACAGCATCGCGTTGTACAATTTTAACCCTAACTTCCTCGCATTTTGCTCCTGACTCTCATGGAAAAAACAGAATGGTGTCTCAAATATACAGGGATTGGCCTGAGATAATTTGGAAAGCAACACTCAGCATGCTGCTTTCCTCTTTAAATTTCTTTACAGCTTGGCATTCTGGAAATTTCATTAGCCCTTGTTGCTAGCAGGACTGAGGATGTGCCAGACGTGTAAAAGGTATTGGCATGAAACAGTATTTGGCGTCATCTCTCTTTGATCAAGTTTCACGGAATACTAGTTGTGGTGTCCACTTGAGATTCAAAGAAAGCTTCCCTGCTTTGGTGCCATCTATGGGAAAAGAGTCCTGAACCTCACCTTCTAATATGACCCGGGTGAGTGTCGTGATGACTCTCCCCATTTTTTCCTGAATGGTTCATATAGTGAAATAGTATAATCAGAGACTTCACAAGACAAAATATGCAGAAGATTAAATATGTATACAAATGCAAGATTGTGCTATTTTGTTGAATTTCCCAGCAATTTATGCTACATGATTTTCATTTGATATGATACAAATAATATCCTTAAGATGATTCCCGCTGTTTTCCATAAAAAAAAAAACTAAAAAAATTTCAATTGTTGATTTAAAAATGCAGCTCTCAGTCATGTTTGCGACCTTATGAAAGAATATGATGAAAGTAGTATGAGAAATTTACCTTCCCAAAGGTGTCATGGTCATACACTTCCAGAATTAACATTTCATGTTGCCCGTCCTCCACAACAAAGTCAAATGTCTGATTCCAGACTGGATTGAGGGTGTCATGTGCAACCTGAGCAAGCAGGAAAAAGTAAATAAATGTCTCTCACTTGACTGCAAACACCAAAATAAAATAAATCTAAAAAGAACAAAACGAGCTGCTATAATTTAAGTTCTAAATCTCACTCTAGTCTTTGCTTTTGCTCCAGATTTCTTCAGTATAAGGACAACAAAGGGGTCAGCCTTTCCTATCAAATCTAATTTTGGCAAGTTTTCAGCAGATAACACTACAATAGATAGTACTCCTCGCACAATGACTTCCTTTTTCTTTTGAATTGCCGTCTGAAGATCAACCGTCTCTGTTGCAGTTCCAGGCGTCTTGAAGGACTTCTCCAATGCGGTCATCGAGAACTCAGCACTAAAAGGGTTTTTATAGCTGCTCTCTGTGCCAAAAGGACAGTATAACAGCTCCAATTGCACCTGACCCCGATGCAAAAATTTTACAATCAGTGGGAATGACAAGTTCAAGTTTAACAAATTTCTATGACTTACAAATTACAATCAAACTTCATGCAAAATCTAGAAATGGAAAGCAGAATGGCATGTTATATATATGCACTGGTCTTCATATGCATTGCTACAGATGTCTTTCTCTTGCTGCTACTTCCTCATCTCAGGAGTACCTAGTTTGAATGCTGCAGCCATTTATATGGCTATGAGAAAAAAAGATGTTCGGCGTTCTCACCTGACCCCTGTTTTTTTTATCTCTTTGGACCTCCAAATCCTTGACCAGTTTCAACCATACATCCTTCACTTTACCAGGCTCAAGGTCTTTTAATGCAACTTGAGCAGAACCAATAAGTTCAGCTGCCCGAACCCCACCTTCATCATCAAAGATTCTTACTGTCAAATGTTGAGTTGTTGGATCTTCAACAACAAACTCAAAGTGCTCATTCCAGATTGGATGCAGCTGGTTATCCTGATTATATATGAAAAAGTTACATACATTCCCAGATTGAAATTTTTTTAAAAAGGGTAAATGTAAGCATAAGAGGATAAGTTTCCATACAACTACTTTGCTGGTTTTCGTTCGGTCACGTAGTGGGCGTACAAATATCACAGCAAAAGGATCAGATTTCCCAATGAGGTCTTTATTTGTTAATTCCTTTGCTTGAACAAGCTTCACATCTAATGTTCCAACAGGCTTCAACTCCAAGTCACTGAAACATAAAGCGATCTACAATTCATCAGTTTGCATTATAAATACAGAACACCATATCAGAGCCGAGTTGAGAGAACAAATTAAGATCCAGTAAAGTTATGATACCTGTAATCCCCAGGTAATATGGGTATAATTTTCCGAACAGGCCAAGTAATCGAATCTTCAATAGCATCTTTTATTGTTTCCTGTACACAGTTGTGTGAAAAATTAACCAGTGAGATGTAACATTCTTTATAGTGAAGAACAAGTCCATTCAATCTATCAAGAGGTACGATTGAGTTACTTATACACGGGAAAGAAATAATAAATAACCAAACAGAAATTGCTCAAACCTCAATAGCATCAGAGATTCCCGGGATTGTTGATACGTCACTACCAATAACTTTAAGCGTGAAATCCAGATCTTTCTGTATGTAAAAGCAAAAGAAGAATTTAAGTCGGCAGAAATTCTCTTTATTCCCTATGTGTAATAAAAGCTTCAGCCTTCAAGAAGGTTGAAATACCTTTTCTCTCAAGGAATAAGAAACAGCTCCAAAACATGGAAACACATCAACTAGAGGCTTGAAGATTAACCTGAAAACCCCAGTGAATCCAATATTCTTCACCTAAATTTTACATAATACAATAAACTAGTCATGAGTTATTCCCAAATCCTATCATTGCTTTGGTTTTTGGAAAGTACAACTTCTGCAAGATTTAATTCTTTTGAGCCTGAGAAATAATTAAGTGAAAATTAGTTACCTGTACAGGCAGTCCAACACCAAATTTGGTTCGAATATCAAGTGCAATACTTGGATTACCATCCCACTGAATTTCCAACTCCATTGTGACTGCATTATCTCCACTTTCACTTTCAACAATGGAAACTCCTGAAGAACACATTATTCATTAATTACCAAATTCTATTCAATAAAAAAACTTATATACGCAATTATTCATAGAATCAAGGGCAATTAATTGTTTATGAAAAACTTTCATTAATACTATTAAGCCAACCTGTAAATTGTGGAGCGACAGTACCAAGGGTCAACTTAGAAAATTTGAGAGATTGTAAAATACTTGGTCTATATTCTTCAAGAACCGGCTCAACATTGCTCCTTATCAGCTCCGATGCTGCCTAGACCATTTTGACCATTAAAAAAAAAAAAAAAAGAGAGAATTATTTTAGATTATTTTTTAATTCATCACCACATAATTAACAAAATTTATTTAAAAATCATAAACACGGGGATGGTGAAAAAATCATACCTCGTTGATATACGGCCAGAGTTTTTCGAGCTGATGATTAAGCCAAGTTAACTGCAGTTAATAAAAAATCAAATATCAGTATCTGGATCAAGACTAGCATTGTAAAGATAAAGATAAATATATATGATTGTACGTTGTTTGTGTAATTTTTGACTTAACTTTTGTCGCTGTGAAAAGACGACCCAAGGAGGATAAAATTCAGATGGAATGACTTTTCTCGAATCCTGCACAGTCATTCTCGCAAATGCTGCCACTATCTTTGCCTGAAAACATCTTTAGTAATCAAAAACAACGATAAAACCGAGACAGAATGCGTATCATACATAAATATTGCACAGTTGTGATAACTTGATACCAATTCAGAACGACGCCTGGATCTCAGATTCTCATAACGAGCGAACATCACAACCAACCCCACGCCGAAGGAGAGTCCAAAGAACATACCGTAAAAGAAAGACATTTTCCCCGGAATATTTGTGAAGATTATTATTAGTATATTCTTATTAATTAATATATCATCCTTTGTTCAGAGATGCATCTATTGAGCTAAGAAAATAAACTTCTTGGAAGATATGTGATCCGGTTGACAGAGAAAGAAGATGACAAAATTTGGATCAAAGAAGAAGAAAAGTTGTTGATAATGGTGGGAAAGTGAGAACCTGTATGTACTTAGAGAATATTAGAATAAGAAGATTGCATGGTTTTCGTAATAACTCTATTAATATAAATAAAATATTGTTTGAATTAATTAATCAAGTTAAAGAAATAAAGAAAGTAATATGTTCCTTTCTTTTGGTTTCCATTAAGTATTTCTTCTCTGTTTTTCTTTTTTATTTTCCCTATAGCCCCTATACTTTCACATATCTATTATAGTAGAAAACTTGTGATTTAGATATTGGATGCATGGTTGTTAGTATCCTACGATACCTGATACGTATCATACGATACGATTCGATACAGGTCGCCAACGATACGTATCAGAGAGTGTATCCTAAACCATTCGATACGTTGATATGTATCCTACGATACGATACGTATCCGTTCGTATCCTTAAAAATATTGATATAAATCGATACGACTTTATTAATTTGGGCCAAATGTCCAAAAAAAAAATCGGGTCGAAACCGGGTCACCCAACCCGATTCACCAAAACCTGTCCAAATTTACCTATTTTGCATGGAGAAAGTGAAAAGGAATATGTATTGCCCATTTTACATGATAATAATAATATAAGTGGAGATATAGATATTGACATTGATCTTGAAATTTTGTGATTAATTTTGATTATGTAATACCGTAATTTAAAGTCAATAATACCACAAAATTCTTCAATTAATCTTGGGGATTATATTAATTTTTAGAAAATTTTGATTATTTTATTAATTTTTTTGAAAAAGACGTATCTTACGATACGATACGATACGCGATACACGATTCAAAAAATTAGGTTTTCGATATACGATACGATACACGATTTGATAACCATGATTGGATGGATGAACAATAAATTAAACAATAACACAAAGAAAATATTTTTTAAGAGGTTCGTAAATCCTACATCAACTGTTTTCATATTTTTAAAAAAAATATATATATTTATATACTATTACAGTGGCAAACTTGTAAATGGATTTAACCTAAAAAGAATAACAATGGCACGAATCCATGTTTCAGTGATTTACCGCACAACAATACACAATAATTCATTAACTTGATAAAATACTTTAAAATAAAATTAAGGTACTATACATTTGGAGATTATTTTATTTATTAAAGTATATATGCAAACTTTGTGATATGGATTTATTTTGTATATAAATATTAGTAACTCAGAATAATAGATGAAAAAAAAAAAAAAAAATCAACTCAATAAATATAGGTACAGTATTGCTCGTTGGAAAATAATATAAGAAGGGGCTAAAATTTAAAAAGAATAAAGATCTGGTATTTGAGAAAAAGGACTATGAAAATCAGGGGTATAAAAGTAAAGCGTTTTCCCAATCTTGTAGTAATCACTCTCTATGAGTGGCTAAACATTAATAGCTCGTAGCCTGTCACGTGTTACACTGGGACGATGTGCTAGCGTCAACCTGATTTGCACGTGACGCCACTTGGACGTATTATATGATTTTGGTTCTCAAATGGAATTAATGGATCGTAAAATTAATCACATAAATACTAATTAGGTACTAGGTAGTGTAACGTATAAGTAAATGTGACAACATTGCATTCAACAAATATGTTATTATATGGTCATCAATGTGACAACATTGCATTCAACAAATATGTTATCAACTCATAAATTAATTAATATCAGTTCTTTTTAATATTGTAATTTCTATTGGAATAATGGGCTATTTCACGAGCCCATTACACTATATAATGAACCCATGAACCTACAAAATATAAAAGCTCGTCCATCCGGGCCAGGCTCATCTTTTAAATGCATCAGAATAAAATTTTAACATAAAATCAATAAATGACTACTTTAATTTGTAGGGTCGAATGTTTGAGCAATCACTTGGTCAGTGAGCTCGGGTAATGAGCTTCGTTCCTTGATCAAACCCCATGGGAATGTTTTCCTCTAGAATACACTCAGCAATTACTTCAAGTCAGACAGATATGCATAGATTCACTCTCAGCCTAGTTATCATCCTCCTTGGACACTTCATAAATTCATGATTATTCTAAACGGTGATATTCAAACTCCTAGTCAAATTCTTATCTAGAGTACAAACTTCAACGTAAATATTATTTTCACAAGTCCAGTTACAATTTATCCAATATTAATCAAGTCTTGTACCTCTTGTATGATAATTTTTGGTTAAAAAAAATACAAAATAAGTAGGTAACATATAAAATTCGAACCATCGATAGATGATTTAATGGTAAAAGAGCAAAATGAGATTTCATGAACTCATGTGTTTGAGTTTCCACAGACATTAATAGGGATTGCCACTGAGAGATTTATCTGGTCGTTAACTTCAAGGTCCCATGAAATTAGTTGAGATGCGCACAAGCTAGTCTAGACACCTTTGATCACCACAAAAAAAAAAAAAAAGTACAAAATTCGAATTCTTATCCCTTTTATTTTATATATTGTTTAAGTACATATGATTTGGTTTTTATTGTTTAAGTGATATGGATTTGTACTTGGTTTATTCTAATAATATGCCAATACTAAAAATATAACCTACTACATAATGTTTATTTTACAAATTTATAAACCAATTAATGTAAAGTTAATCACATTACGGTGCGGGTGTGACAGAATCTAGAATATAATCTTGTATAATCTTTTAGTTTGAGTGTTAAAAATTTAATATACTCTTGAAGAATATTATAAATCAAGGAGGACACTTAGCATGGCTTCCTTGTTTGCGTCTTCACTTATAATTGGTGGGGAGCGATTGATTAATTTAAATTATAGAAAAAAAGAAAGTAATTCTAACAAAACTTGAACACAGAATAAACACCCCATGTTAACGCCTGTCCGGTCCGGTTCTCTTTTTTGGGCATTCACAGGTGTAAATTAAAGACACGACCACTCTTGAGGTTCTTTTTAATTATATTCGTTTCCATCTACCATCTTCTAGATTTCCGATTTGATTAGATGCCTCTCAAGATTTCCTGTTCATTATGCTTTTTATTAATTCCATGATGATTTATTCCCTTTATATTTTTATATATACCATTTTTTATAAATAAGATGTTCAGACTAATTTATATGCATCTCGATTAATATTATTTGAATAAAGATGGTCATTATATCTTTATGTATACCATTTTCTATAATCAAGATGCTCAGACTAATTTATTAATTATGTTTTAATAAAGATGATTTATTTCTATTATATCTTTATGTATACCATTTTTTATAGCCAAGATCTTCAAACTAATTTTGTGCTCGATCTCGGCCCAAATCCTAAATAATTCAGGTAAACTCTACCCTGTTTAGGTTGGGACAGGACAGGTCTTTGCAGGGTCAGGTTTTATATCAATCCCTAGTTTAGACCAATTTATATGTATCTGATTAATTCTCGAATCTGAAATTGTATGTTTATCCGCATTATATTCTGATTGAAGTGATAGATTATGAATTCATCCCCAATTGCATGTGCATCCCATGTGTTTTAAAAAGCCTTTCTATATATTTACTTCACTTATTTTCATGAGATATCTTTTCCACAAATTTCTATGCAATTTTCAACTATTTTTCATCTAACAAAATAAATTATTTTGATTTATTTAATAATATTTTGATATTGTTATATTTATGTATTAATCACGCTAAAAATATCCACCGTTGTATACTTTTGACACACATCAACGATTGAAATTAATTGCAGTTAAAGTGACAGGCCACGTCTAATGAGTTCTTATAACAACCACCCACGCTTGTCAACGTTCGTCAAATTAAAGCAAAATCGAAATACATACAAGAGGTTCCAAAGCACTTTCCAGAGAAATCGCAAATCAGGAATATAAAAGCCGCTACGAAGCGCCTTTCTTTTCAAAAGCTCTCGCTCTCTCCTCATAAAATTTTCTGTGCGCCACAGCAACAAATATTAAACTGCTCCATAACTGTCTCGGTCTCTCTCCTTCCTTGTATATCTTTATAACAGCAACTCAAAAATTAAATAATTATCACCATTTCATCTCTCTTTCCTTATTTAACTACTCAACATAGCTTCACGTTTACGTTTCATGAACCATAGCTTGAGTTTGTTTTCTGAGTTTTGATAAATCTATATTCAGAGACGAAATGGCGGGAAACGACTGGATTAACAGTTACTTAGAAGCGATCCTGGACGCTGGTCCAGGAATCGACGATGCAAAGTCATCACTGTTGCTGAGAGAGAGAGGACATTTCAGTCCTACTCGATACTTCGTCGAAGAGGTCATCACCGGCTTTGATGAAACCGATCTCTACCGCTCTTGGGTTCGAGTACGATATTTTACTACTGAAATTTAAATTCACTTCATTATAGTTTTTTTGTTAATTATTATTAGTATTAAGTTTTCGATTCTTTGATTATAGGCTTCGGCTACTAGAAGTCCGCAAGAGAGGAACACTAGATTGGAGAACATGTGTTGGAGGATTTGGAATTTGGCGCGCAAGAAGAAGCAGGTTTTCCGTTTTTTCTTTTTTAGTCGTTAAGATTCCCATTTTAGTTTTAAATTATATTCAGAACATATAGAACATATTTTCAGTAATGTCGAAACCAGATTTTCTGGCCTGATCTGTTTGGGATGTTTAGTTCATAATTCACAAACTGTTATCAGATCACATGGATTTGTTTGTGTGAATAAGAGATATTTATGAAAGCAAAACCATACTCTAAATTAGTTGCTATACTGCAGAGGAAACGCGTTTCGTTGAAGATTTAAAGAAATAAAACGTTGGAAATAAAGGACAAAAATATTACTTGTAGCAGAGGATTTCCTGCTCCGTTTGCTTTTGTTAAGTACATCTTCTGTTATTTATTTCCTTTTAGTCTGGAAACGAAGTTTTATGTTGTACAAATGCGTTTTAGAATTTCATTATTAATTGTATCTAGATTTAAAATTATGAATGACTTTGATTTACACCCTCTCTTGAACTCACATAGCTTGAGGGAGAGGAAGCTCAGCGTAACGCTAAACGTCGTCTTGAACGGGAAAGAGGCCGCAGGGAGGCAACAGCAGATATGTCAGAAGACTTATCAGAAGGAGAGAAAGGAGACTTGTCTGGTGACCATTCTGCTCATGGTGATAGCAGTAGAGGAAGAATGCCTAGAATCAGTTCTGCCGATGTGATGGAGAATTGGGCTAGTCAATACAAGGAAAAGAAACTCTACATTGTGTTGATAAGGCACGAATCGCACTTCATTGTGACCTCATGATCTAATGAGGTTATTTGGAGGTTTATCTTGAATGCAGTTTTTGCTTATGACTATAAACTGAAATGTGTCAGAATGTTTTAGTACAGAGCTTTATGAAATCTCTAGTTTTCATGATGGTTTTTAATTAATATTGACAAGAATTATTTTTGCAGTCTTCATGGCTTGATACGGGGTGAAAACATGGAGCTCGGTCGTGATTCTGATACAGGTGGCCAGGTAATTAATTAATTAATGCAGAACAAAATTGCTTTCATTCTCTGTTCAAAAAATTTGAAATCTTTGTTGATGTTGTTTTTCATATCGTTCATGATTGTTTAGATCCATTCCAAAGAAACATGTACCACACTATTACTTATGAAGTTTGGTATTGTGGTGTTTCAAACAGGTTAAGTATGTAGTAGAACTTGCAAGGGCTTTGGGCTCAATGCCAGGAGTTTATCGGGTTGATTTGCTGACGAGACAAGTATCGGCTCCAGATGTTGATTGGAGCTATGCTGAACCAACAGAGATGCTGCATTTAAGAACCACTGAGAACTTGACGCATGAGGTTGGGGAGAGCAGTGGTGCGTATATTGTCCGTATACCATTTGGTCCAAAAGATAAATATATACAAAAAGAGCTCCTTTGGCCCCATATTCCTGAATTTGTTGATGCTGCCCTTAGCCACATTATACAGATGTCCACAGTTCTGGGTGAGCAAATTGGTGGTGGACAACCTGTGTGGCCAGTTGCAATTCATGGACATTATGCAGATGCCGGTGACTCTGCTGCTCTCCTATCTGGAGCTCTAAATGTGCCAATGGTTTTCACTGGCCACTCACTTGGACGAGATAAGCTTGAACAACTTTTGAAACAAGGACGACTATCAAGAGAAGAAATAAATTCAACATACAAAATAATGCGGCGGATAGAAGCTGAGGAGTTATCTCTTGACGCGTCTGAAATTGTTATAACTAGCACCAGACAAGAGATAGAAGAGCAATGGCGCCTTTATGATGGATTTGATCCAGTACTAGAGCGCAAATTGAGAGCAAGAATCAAAAGGGGTGTCAGCTGTCATGGCAGGTTTATGCCTCGTATGGTTGTAAGTGCTTACATATCATTTCTGATATCTTTATTGAATTTATGATATTTGCTTCTGCATCTAAAGCAAGTTTGGTTGGTTGTTATGCTTTTCTCTATGTAATGGTAATTTAACTATCTTTTCTAACATTGATGTCCAGGTAATTCCTCCTGGAATGGAATTTCATCATATTGTTCCACATGATGGAGATGTGGATGGGGAAATGGAAAAGAATGAAGATAATCCTGCTTCTCCAGACCCACCTATATGGTCTGAGGTTGTAGTAGTTCTTTCTTTTCCATTATTGGGGTCTTATAGCCTGTGTATCAATGTTCTAATCATTTTAAATTGTTTTACTGCCAAAAGGAAACCATACTATCCTGGGAACCATTTTAACTTGCGTGCAGCAGAAATTCTGATACAATACTGACCTTAAAGTCTTGAATTGGCAGATAATGCGTTTCTTTTCCAATCCACGCAAACCTATGATACTTGCCCTTGCCCGGCCAGACCCTAAAAAGAATATTACAACTTTGGTCAAAGCATTTGGCGAATGCCGCCCTTTGAGGGAGCTGGCTAACCTGGTATGCAGAATTCTTCTATATGCAGCTTCAGTGATTATATATATTTTTATAATTTTTCCCATTTTTAAATTCTTTTTTTTTTTGTTAATCAAAGCTTTGTTGATTATTTTAGTTTTCTGTAGAAAAATTACCATATTGGTTGTTGCAGTGTCTAGTAATGGGAAACCGTGATGATATTGATGAAATGTCTGGAACAAATGCATCAGTGCTTCTTTCAATTCTTAAATTGATAGACAGATATGATCTGTATGGCCAAGTAGCATATCCTAAACACCACAAGCAGTATGAAGTTGCTGACATTTATCGACTAGCAGCAAAAACAAAGGTAGAGCTTGTAATATATTTCTCCAAATTGAGGTGCAGACTGATTTTAAGGTTTGCTGTTCCATAGAGAAAAACATATTAGCACCCTATACTAATTAACTAATTGGAATGTGAAATTTGCTTGCAAGCATATTCTTTCTTCTATAGCATATATGTTCAATTTTCATTTCAATTTGCTTATACTCACCCTTATTTTTCTCTGTTTGAGTTGGTTTAGGGTGTTTTCATCAATCCAGCTTTCATCGAGCCATTTGGGCTTACTTTGATTGAGGTTTTCTTCCCCATCTAGTATCTATAGTTTTAATGCTTCAGATGTTTACTCATAGACAATTCAACCGAAGTTCTTTTTTTAACAGGCGGCAGCTTATGGTTTGCCTACGGTTGCCACAAAAAATGGGGGTCCTGTTGACATCCATCGGGTTTGTGCATCTTTTCGACCTTCATATTGCTTAGCTCTTATGTAAATTGAAGTGTTCTTGAAGTTTGATGCAATCTTGTAGTTACTCATGAGGAGCTTGTTACAGGTTCTCGACAATGGTCTACTGGTAGACCCTCATGATCAGCAGTCTATTGCTGATGCTCTACTTAAGCTTGTTTCTGATAAGCAACTCTGGGCAAGATGCAGACAGAATGGACTGAAAAACATTCACCAGTTTTCATGGCCAGAGCACTGTAAAACATACTTATCCCGCATAATCAGTTGCAAACCAAGGCAACCTCAGTGGCAGAGAATTGATGATGGACTTGAAAAAGTGGAATCTGATTCACCTGGTGATTCCTTGAGAGACATACAGGATTTATCTTTGAACTTGAAGTTTTCATTGGATGGTGACAAAATTGAAGAGGGTAATACTTTTGATAATGCTCTGGATACTGAAGAAAATTCTGCTAGTGGGAAAAACAAGTTAGAGAATGCCATTTTGGCATGGTCAAAGGGCACGATTGGTGGAGCACAAAAGTCTGACCAAAATGTTGGCACCAGTAAATTCCCGGCAATGAGGAGGACACATATATTTGTCATTGCCGTGGACAGTGATACAAATTCAGATTTCCTTGAAATCATTAAAAAAGTTGTTGAGACAGTACGGAAGGGAAATTCTGCTGGTTTTATCGGGATAATTTTGTCAACAGCATTGACTATCTCAGAGGTACATTCTGTTCTGGTGTCAGGAGGTTTGAGCCCATTAGATTTTGATGCTTTTATCTGCAATAGTGGTAGCGAGCTCTACTATCCATCTTCAAGCACTGAGGATGTTCCCGGGCTTCCCTTTGTAGTAGATTTAGATTACCATTCACATACTGAATATCGCTGGGGTGGTGAAGGTCTGAGGAAGACTTTGGTTCGTTGGGCTGCTTCTATAAATGATAAAAAGCCAGAAGAAGGAAAGATTGTGGAACATGATGAATCAAGATCAACTGCACATTGCTATGCTTTCAAAGTGGCAAATCCATCATTGGTAATTTTCATCTTCACCTCGCCCCCTCATTATGCAAATTTGATGCAGAATTGAAACTCAGAGTTTCTGCTGCCTGAACTTCTCCTCTCATCATATGTTAATAATGCATACCCTGTCTTTGCAGATTCCTCCAGTTAAGGAACTAAGGAAACTGATGAGAATTCAGGCTCTTCGGTGCCATGTTACTTATTGTCAAAATGGTACCAATCTCCATGTAATCCCCGTGTTGGCTTCTCGATCCCAAGCGCTCAGGTATATGTATTTTTATTGAATGTTGGCTCTGCCCTGTGTTTATTGAATGTTGGCTCTGCCCTGTGTAGAAAACAGAGTGGAGCATTTCACGATTTGTTTGGATATTGTAGTAAATACTTGGGACATATTTTCAGGTATCTCCATGTTCGTTGGGGCATAGATTTGAAGAATGTTGTTGTGTTTGTTGGAGAATGCGGAGACTCAGACTATGAGGGCTTGCTTGGAGGGATCCATAAAACTGTGATATTGAAAGGAGTGGGCATCAATGCCCGTAAGCTCCACGCTAATAGAAACTATCCTTTAGAGGATGTATTGCCACTGGACAGTCCCAATGTTGTTCAAACGGAAGCACGCGACAACTCCAGCATAAGAACATCACTGGAAAAACTAGGGGTTCTAAAGGTATAGAAGTTTGCTGCGTGACTAAAAAATTTCTCATGTTTTACAGTCTTGTAATAATTAGGTTTGGCTTCCAATCCTACATCCAAACGGTATATTTTTTTCCTCCAAAAACTTTTATTACTGCAATGTTTGGCTTCCAGTAAATCCGGTCCGGCCTCAAATTGGGACTTTATATATGTACACTTTCTCATTATTCTGTTTGGTTTTTATTGTTTAAGTAGTAAGTTAACGTGGAGCAAGGTAGTCGCAAACGTGATCCATCATCCCTTGCAGCCACTTTTGAGTTCTAGAGAGGTGGTCTTACAGCTTTCCAGAAGCTTTTCGCTTTTTGGTTATGAAATGTTGGATGTAATATGCAATGAATAAATAATACTCTTATACTATATATCTCCTCTCTTGACATTGATTTCCAATTAAGTGAATTATAGGAATATTTTATGTATATGATTTTCATGTTAGATCTCAAGGGAGAAAAATGTAGAATATATAAGACCAAGAAATCGTGCAATTTGATAAAAACATGGCAGGTGAAGATTAGAATTGTTTTTGTTTCGTTTAGGAGGGAAATTGTTTACTCATCTTCTTCATTATGATTCATTAATTTATCTTCTTTAATATATCAAAGCTGTAAACTAATTGTTTCCGCTCAAGAAGCACGATATCAGCCCAACTTTTAACTTGTACATCAACCTTACAAACCTTTTACTTATTGGGATTAATTATATGCAAAGGTTTTGTTCAAGTCATGTTTATACAATAATTTTTAATTAATTATTGTAATTATTGAAAAAATTGATAAATTAATATTAATTATAATAGAACAACTTTCCCTTGGATTTAGAAAAACTCTCACAATTCAAATCTTATTTATGAAATAAATATAAAATGGTTATGTACAGGCACGTAGCCACTTACATAATCGTGGGTTCAATTGAACCCCACTTAACTTTAAAAAAAAAAAAATCAAAAAGGTCTTACATATTCTGAAATTTATAATTTTGACACCTTAAAAATTTGTATTAATTAATATTTTTTTACCTTTCTCTCTTTTTTATTTCCTCTCCATCTCAGTAATATTTTCTTTTTCTTTGGTTGGATTATTCAAGAAAAGTTATTCTTTTAGAGGTTACAAGGTAAGATGATGCTATTTTTTTTTTTTTTAAATATTTTCTTTTAGTTTTTTTAATTGATGGAAAATTATGAGTTATGAGTTTTGGTTGAGTTTAATAAATAAGTTTGAAATTGGAAGATTAAATTCTTAGATTTTGATGTGAGTTTTGATTTAATCTTGTTTATGTTGAGGAATCAGATAATTAGTTGTTGTTTTAAGCCGAGTTTGATAAATTAAGATACAATCATTGTTTAAGTTGAGGAATTGAAAGGTTTTAAGGTTAGCCCATATTAATTATTGAATTTTGTGTTGGTGTTTTTGGATTTGTAATTGCAAATTAATTATTTTTTCGATAATTTTTTTTTTTTTTTTTTTAGTTATAAACAATTTTGATCAAAAGAAAATTTTATGATGAGGAACCATCAATTGACCAAAACATAAAACCTCATAATACTGTTGAGTTTAACTTAAATAGTCTTCTTACAGATTCTAGACTGAGGATTAAAATTTCAGAATATCATCCTAATGATAAAGACAAAGTGAGAAGAGCCTACTTGTAAAAAATGGCCTTACCAACCACACAATCATAATTTAAAAAAACGAACAATTGGTAATTTAATGGATCATTTCAATATATATTTTATCGTAAATTTATCAACATAGATGTTTTGAACTCACTCACTAAAAATTCTGGCTACATCCCTAATTATGTATCAAATATTCATATGTTTAAGATTCATAGTTGTAGAACTCCATGGTGAGCATATATATATATATATATATACATATATATTTTATATATATATATTATATATATATAATATATATATATATTCAAATATAGAAAATAATTAATCTTAGAGATAACAAGACCTATCTCACTTATCTAATTCCTTCTACCAAATCCCATTACACAGCACAAGATTAAGCAGAACTAATCCAACTTCATCAAACTCTGCTTCAATGGCTGACTTCGCTACCACTACCCCTCCTTTTCTATACCTTATAATCTGTCATATACTTCTTTTCTCTTCCATCAAACAACACTTCCATCTATTTCCGTTTTCTAATTTTTCTATTTCCAATCACACGCTTAATTTCCAAGAAAACACAAAAGAAGTCTCTAGCATTCATTCTTTTCCAGTTCCTGTTCAATTTGCTTCAATTGGAAGCAATAATGGTGGCAGTGTAAGTACTCAAATTAATACAACTGTCTGAATGAAGAGAAAGAAAAGTTTGTTTTACTTTATGTATGTTATAAATGGGTGCAGAAGAAGAGTCAGTTTGAAAGAATGGAAGATGGATTGGCGAGAGCAAGAGCAGCTATATGGAAAGCGTCACGATTTCATGTTTACACATCAAACAAAGCGGAAAGTTTTATTCCCAGGGGTTCCATTTACATAAACCCTTATGCCTTTCATCAGTTAAGATTTTCTTCTCTTTTAATGTTCTTTAAGTGTTCATCATTCAGTAATCATATACACGTGGCTTTAAAGTTCAAGATGATTAACTTAACTGTCCGACTTTTCACTGGGTAAATTCTAAGGTTAGACTTATCTATAAAGATTCTTCAAAATTTAGATGATTAAATTAATGGGTGATCAGGAGGAAGTCAAAGTCATCACTTCAGGCCGCCATTAATTAATTAGATGAGCTAGGTTTAGCACTGATAAACGAATTCTTCCCTCATAAGTATTTAACATCCAATAGAAAGACGTAAAATTTTTGGTGTATATATCGAAACAGGAGCCACATAGAGATGGAGAAGCGATTTAGAGTGTGGACATACAAGGAAGGACAGCCACCGCTGTTTCATAAAGGGCCAATGGCTGATATCTATTGCATCGAGGGGCATTTGATTGATGAATTGGAGAGTGGGAATAGTCCTTTTTCAGTCCGCCATCCCGATGAGGCCCTTGCTTTTTTCCTCCCCGTTAGCATCTTAAATATCATTGTATTCGTCTACAGACCTTACACTAATTTTTTTCGTTCTCGCTTGCAAAACATTGTCAAAGATTACATTGACACTGTGTCCACCAAATATCCTTATTGGAACAGAAGCAGCGGAGCTGATCACTTTCTAGTTTCTTGCCATGATTGGGTAAGTTTTCGTAAGATGATTTTGTTTATTGATGAAGTTTGATTATGAAGTAATTAACGTCTTTACGACATCACAGGCACCAGATGTTTCGGCTGCTCACCCGGATCTTTACAAGAACTTCATCAGAGTTCTCTGCAACGCCAACTCCTCCGAAGGGTTCAAGCCAGCGAGGGATGTCTCTTTGCCTGAAATTTATATGAGACGTGGATCATTGAAACCCACGGTACATCTCAGCCAGGAAGCCTCGTATAACCGTTCCATCTTTGCTTTTTTTGCTGGTGGTGCTCATGGTTACGTTAGAAAGCAGCTATTTTATTTCTGGAAAGGAAAAGCTGATGAAATCCAAGTTCATGAATACCTCCCCAAGCCCCTAAATTACGCTCAACTAATGCATCAAAGCAAGTTTTGCCCCTGCCCCAGTGGACATGAAGTTGCGAGTCCTAGAGTGGTGGAGTCTATATTTTCAGGTTGTGTTCCGGTGATCATCTCCGATCATTATGTTCTACCCTTTAGCGATGTTTTGGATTGGAGCAAATTCTCAGTTCATATTCCGGTAGCAAAGATACCTCAACTGAAGAAAATTCTTCAAGGTATTTCTGAGGATGAATATACAGAGATGCAAAAGCGAGTTCTTCAAGTGCAACGAGATTTTTCTCTTAATCGACCTGCGAAACCCTATGACATTTTGCACATGGTGATGCACTCGGTGTGGCTCAGGAGGCTCAATCGCAGGCTCCCACCTCTCCATAATGCCTAGACCATTCACGTGTTGTAAAAAACTTATTCTTCAATATTAGTGCATGTAAAATAATAAATCCAATAATTCTCTTTCTCTCTCTCTCTTTCTATATATATATATAAACAGAGTTTGTATAAACTTACGCGTCACGTGACACGTTACAAAACATGCTATGTGGTATTAGGATCCATGTAACTTAATATCACATTAATATTATGTGGGCCATCATGTCACGTGATACTCACATAGTGTGTCACATTATATAATAATCAGAGCCTAAAAGTGAAAGTTTAGATCTAACAAAATGATGCTAGAGATGGGCATAAAATGTCAATCTCAGTAATTTCAACTGCCCAAATAAGATTACATAACATGGAGCATTAAATTTTAATTAACCCCATCCTTATGAAAATATAAATGAAATAAATAAAAGAGAGAGAAGTAGTGTTTAAATCTTATTCAGGAATCAATTAATTGCAATCATGTAGCATGAGTGAATTATTTTTACACAACAGTCCTATTACTCTTTGTTTCCAAACAATAAATAAGAAACTAAAATTTCTAAAGAAGTATCGTGAATGTCCAAAGATTTAATTTGGATTTATACAATACAAGATTTTATCGTTATAAGTATTTCTATGTTTCATGTTAGACGTATGACAAAACATTTTCCTTAAATTTAATTATCTACTTTTTAAATTTTTAATAATGTTTGTAATTTTTATCTTAGAGTATTATAATCCTATACTAAATCTAACATGATTCAAAAATTTATGATCACTAAGAAATAATTGCTTACACTCTATAAAAATAAAACTGTCTACATTGTTTTAAAAACCGGACTGGAGGACAAACCGCTCTGATGGCCGGGTTACGGTTCAACCGGTCCAACCGGTTGGACCACCGGTTGAACCGATGGTTTGACAGGTTTAAAATCTAACAAAAACACCCCTAATAACTACTATCAGACCCTAAATGTTTGAAATCTGGCAAACACAACTCTGGCCAAATGCAAATCGACGATCAATTGGGAGAGCAACAGCGACACACCAAGAAGGGTAGATTGGATGATAGAGAGGGCGAATAAGCAGCTAGCAAGTAGAGGCATCGCCTGAAAATGGCAGATCGGCGGTAAAGTCACTGGTCGCGGTTGCTTTTTTTGGTGATATGACTGGATCTTCGTGAATGACAACAAGGGAGCTTGGGAGAAAGTAGATCGGTGGCTAAGGAAGCCTGTCGATGCCGGAGAAGGTCGATCGACGCTGAGAAATGGAAGAAAAATCTCGTGGCAAAGGTGGACGATGAAACGTCACGCAGCGGCTGGACTGTTGGAGATGAAGCGTGATAGCGCTGGAGAAAGTCAGAACTCAGAAGGTGGTTTTCGACAGTAAGGGAAGGTGGAAGGTCGCCGGAAAAGGGAGATCATTGCCGATTTGCATTTGGCCAAAGGGTGTGTTTGCTAATTTTTGAAACCTTCAGGGACTGATGGTAATAATCAAGGGTGTGTTTGTTATATTTTAAACTTCAAATAGTTAAAAAGAGTGAACCGACCCGGAGAAGGCCCCGGGTCCTGGTCCAACCGGTTGGACTGGCCGGTTCGGTCCGATTTTTAAAACAGAGACTGTCTAATGAGAATAATCATTTCAGTGAGTCAATAATTGGGGTATTTTAATTGGGAAAAATAATACAGTTACCGAAGAATGCACACCGAATGACGTGACGCTATTCTAACCGTTGATTAATTATGAATTTTTTTTAAGAAAACATGATGATATCACGTCATTCAATGCACATTCTTCGCAGCATTGATCTTTTAAGTCGTTGCCAACTTTGAAGAAATTGAGACCAATAAACTAAATTTCTTATCATTCACGGCAAAAAACTCAAAATTAGATTCGAAATTGTTGACCAAGACACCGATAAAATTTTCCTCACCATATAACATGGCAAGGAAGTTTTTACTAAAGTTCTAAATATACAATGAGTCAAGTCTTATTACATTTTATGAGATTTCTTTCTTCAAGAAATTAAGAATTTCAAAATTATTAAAAAATATACTAATTTTATTCTGTTTTGCTCCTCCCCGTAAAATCCAAGTTTGACTCTTGAGTTGGACCCAGGCATCATTCACGGCAAAAAACTCAAAATTAGATTCGAAATTGTTGACCAAGACACCAATAAAATTTTCCTCACCATATAAAACGGCAAGGAAGTTTTTACTAAAGTTCTAAATATACAATGAGTCAAGTACTTGTTTTAAGCTCAAATTTGGTTTAGTTGAATAGTCGTAAGAGTTTTACCGGTGCACAAAAATCGAGTTATTGTGGTTTATAATTTAAGTTTTTAACTTCATGTATAATAATTATGAATACAAATTGTTCTCAATTATTTATATTAATGGAGTATTTATTAAGTTGATTTTTCAAATTTACTCATTCTAGTATTATTATTATTATTTAACAAAAACTAATTTGTATTTTCCATTGAAAATTTGATCTTTGTTATTGTAGATATGCTTATTACATTACAATTTGTTGTAATTCGGGTTAATACAAGAAGACAAGCAACAATATTCCAAATAAAAACACTGAAATTTATTTTTTTGCATTGTTCTTACATGCAACGAACCCAAATGTCTTATTTGCAAACATTCAACAATTATCTTAGTATATTTGTATCAATTTTATCATTTTATACATATATGGTGCCGAATCTTACTAGTAATTATCATGTGGTGAGTTTAATACTCAGTACTATTGATTTGTTATAAAAAAAGGTGATGGAGATTTTGATAATTTTATATGTTAATAATAACGGGTCCGTTTGGTTCATTATTCTGATAGTTTTTAGAATAATATTTGAAAAAAGTTAATTTGGGCGGGTATTACGATGTAGGATTTGAAAATTAACACAAATACCCCTTATATTTAGTTATTTATTAAACACCCATATAATAAAATATTAAAAGTTAACAAAAACACCCCCAACCCATCCATCAAATACGGACAGCCATCACCACTGTCGGAGGGTGGCCGAAGTCGTCGTATGGACGCATGACCGGTTGGATCTTATCAGTCGTGCGCTGATATGTCCTTTTCTGGCCAGATCTACGGTTAGATCTGGCCATTGACGGCTAGATCTGGCCGCACTTGGTCGTCAACGACGACCAAAGATATGGTTGTCATTGATGGTCGTTGACAACCAGATCTTTGGTCATAGATCTAGCATTTTTCGACCAGATCTACAGTGGATCTGGCCGGAAAAGGCTAGATCGGGATACTATTGGCCAGACTCAGCCGGCAGTGCACCATTATACCATATTTCGACAGTGGTGGTGGGAATCTGGTAAATATGGGTTGTTGGGGTATTTTTACAATTTTTAAAAAAAATATTTGGGGGTGTTTAACAAAATTAACAAATTCAAGGGGGTTTAAATAAAATTAAAAAATATAGAATAATATTTTGAAATATTTTACTGTTTAACTTTATAGTATTTCCAATAGCGTAACAACCGGAGCCAACATATAATTGAAATAATAAGAAGAATTGTAATTGAATTTTACCGTTTAGCTTATAATGAACGTTTATATTTTAGTCTCATAGCTTGGTTGACACTCCTTAGGATGCGAGTGCTAATGTATGGTCCTTACAGTCAACACTGATATGGTCATTTGCATACACTACATGACTTGTCACATTTTCTTAATTAAGAAAAATCAGCAATTACAGTTTTACGTACACTTGAGACTTATTCTCATGCTATTTTATGTTAAGACTCTGTTTGGTTGGACTTATTTACTGACCAAAGAGTTTATTTAAAGCAATAAATATTTTTTAAATTTGTTTAAGTTTTTTGGTCGTATAATGTATTTCATAAGTGTTGATAGAATTTAGAATTAAACTATTTTACCGTTTATAGAAGAAGCTTAAATTTCGAGTTTTCTCGTAACTCCTTTTGAGCTTAGAAAGAACTTGTTTAGAACGTTGAAATTTCGAAAATATCCCTTATTACCCTTTTTGGTAAATTTATATTAAATTTTTTTTTACATTTTCTTAACAAAACAAAATAAGTTCTACTCTAATAAGCTTTTCTTCTATAAATTCAAGCTATACCAAATGGGCCTTAAGACTTCCATTAAGGTTATTTTAGGTTTTAAAAATTATTTTCGAAATTGTGTTGGTCAATGGATATTGAAGCTAGCTATTTGGGTTGATTAAATTAAGTGGGAGTGGTTTTTCCAATTGGAGAGGGTAACAAAAATATCGGCAGACCACAAAAATTATCACAAGGTCAAACCCGTCAATTTACGCTTCCCTCACACATTTTCTGCTTAAATTTTCTTTCTGCTACTCCCCGCCCTTAGAACTTAGAAGCTCTCTCTCAAAATAATTTTCCCTCTCGGAAAAAACAATTTCTCACCAACCAAACACCAAAGGCCAATCTAATTTTGTATGTAGAATGGGTTCCTTCACGGCGTTCGTCCCCTCAATCTGTACGCTGGCGTTGATCGTCATTGTTTTGATGCTTTCAGCTGACTATCTTAGCTCCTTCGTGAGCCACTCATCTTTCGATATGCGTCAATTTCGTAGAGTCGGTTCATTATCTGATCTTCAAAACCGAGCAGCTCTTTTGACTGAATCTAGCGACGGTGTAATCGTGAATCGTTTCACAAACTCAACTGCAGCTAGCGACGGCGTAACCGTGAATCATTTCACAAACTCAACTGCATCTAGCGACAGCGTAACCGTGAATCATTTCACAAACTCAACTACTGTTAAAGTAAGTTTCTAACCATCACCGAATCAATGAAATATGATCCGGATAAAACTGATTTGTTGAATCTCAATGAAACTCCCGTTTTACTGCATCCGGACGATCAATTTAATTTTCTTATAAGTTGATTTGTTTGCGTTATTTTATTTCACTGTTAATGTAAATAGTTTTAACACAGATAAAACTGCTAGTTGAATCTCAATGAAACTCCCGATGAATCAGTACGATGAATGAATTATATTCTCTTTCAAAGTTTATTTGAGCTTTTCTATATATTTCATGTTTAGTGTTCACTAAATTAAACAACAGAGAAACCAGTTCGTTTAAATTTGAAAATTGTCGAATAATCAGGATGATCAACGTGTTTTCATATATATTAATTATTATTATTACTATTATTATTATTACAGAAAAAATCATCACCGAGCGAGATAGATAAAAGAAAGGAGCTGAATCAAGGGCTTGCAAGATCACGAGCTTCGATTCGTAAAGCAGCGCTGACGCAAAAGTTTCCGTCAATTATCAAAAACGAAGATATTGTTCCTCAAAGGGCCATCTATCGTAACCCCGGAGCATTTTATCAGTAAGTTTAGACTTTAATTAGATTTAATATTATTTAATCTAAAAAAAAAAGTTTAGTTAATTAACCAATAATAAAAACATGAGTACATGCTTTATTTCTAAGTTACCACCAATATTGCAATTAGTTACACGTATATACCTGCTTTATTTAAGTTACCAGCACTATTGCTATTAGTTACACGTATATGCCAACTATATAGATCTCGTATACCTTTTTGGGGTGTGCAATGAAATATTTCTTGGATCTGAAGAAGCATGATGCGTGATATATAGTGCGCATTCACTCATTTTATATTCTTTATCATTAACTTTGACAGTCAATTAATTACTTCCATAGTCCCATGTTTGAATCATAGCTACTGCATAAAAGCGGCCGTTCTTTACTCTCAATGTCTTTATTAATGGTGCATATTGCCGTGCCACAAAAGTGTCCTTAGAAAGTCGTGTCATTTCTTTATCTGTACTGTACGTGTAACATATAGATAACATTAAAATTTTAATTTACAGTATTTAAATTTCAAAAGTATGTTAACACATTAAATGTCACGTTTAAAATTATGAATTGTCGAGAATATAAACAAGAAACTTGTAACATCAAACAGGTGTTCCTCGCTGCCAATCAAATGGTCAGCCATTTGACTGATTGGTTCACCATAACCTATACTTTTAACGGGTTTGTCGTTTATCATGATCTTAAAGCAAGAAGTTTTAGACTTTAATTAATTCTGATGCAATCAGAGAGTAGATGTGCCCCAAAGAGGACCCTCGGTAGCTTTATGAAAATGCATTTAATTAGCAAAATGAGTGCTAAATCCTTTGCTCTTTGCCAATAATTATGTCACTTAGTATACATCGACACTTTGTAACATCTATTTTGTACACGTTTTCTTTTAAAATTTGTAGAAGCTATGCGGAGATGGAGAGGAAATTCAAGGTTTATGTGTATAAAGAAGGAGAACCCCCCATGGCCCACGATGGGCCATGCAAGGAAATGTACTCAATAGAAGGAAGGTTCATAAACGAGCTGGAGCATGGTACTACGAGGTTCAGGACAAGTGATCCTGAGCGTGCTCACATTTACTTTTTGCCTTTCAGTGTGACTTCAATGGTGGAGTACCTATACCGCCCTCTTACGTATGATCTTGTTCCACTTAAGCAGTATGTAGCAGATTATGTGAAAGTTGTGTCTACTAGACATCCCTTTTGGAATAGAACTAGTGGGGCTGATCACTTCATGCTTGCCTGTCATGATTGGGTGAGTTTCTATCATCCATCCCCTCTATCAAAACTTTCCTTTTAGGGCTAGAACAGCTCTTTTTCTAAGTTTGTAGATTGCTGGTTACATAAATGTCTAAAGTAAATTAGCTTCCAAGCTAACATGAATGGCCTTGTATAGTAGAATGGCAGACCAGTATTCATGATTATTAGCATTAGTATTTACCTTTTGTCGAAGAATGATGATCTTGATCAGAGACTTGCATTATTTTACCTTAGCTTAATTCACATACATTGCAGGGTCCTCTGGTATCTGAAGCCAACCCTCAACTCTACAGCAGATCCATCCGAGGCCTCTGCAATGCCAACTCCTCCGAAGGTTTTAACCCTCAAAAAGATGTAAGCATCCCCGAAATCCACCTCTTCGGTGGCTACCTACCAACCAAGCTTCAAAACCCACCACCCTTAACTGAACCAAGACCTCATCTGGCATTCTTTGCCGGCGGAGTCCACGGCCCAATCCGCCCCATCCTTTTGGATAACTGGAAAGGCCGTGACAATGATATGAAGGTTTATGAGTACCTCCCCGAAGGAGTGGATTACTATTCCTTTATGCTCCAATCAAAGTATTGCCTGTGTCCAAGTGGGTATGAAGTGGCCAGCCCTAGAGTTGTGGAGTCTATATATGCAGAATGTATACCAGTGATTTTGTCAAAAAAATTTGTGCTGCCATTAAGTGATGTTTTGAGATGGGAGTCTTTCTCGGTACAGGTAAAAGTATCAGATATTCCAAGACTGAAGGAGGTGTTGACGTCAATTTCTGAGGAGAAGTACATGAAACTGAAGGAGAATTTAAGAGCTGTTAGGAAACATTTTATGTTAAACAAACCTGCTCAGAGATTTGATGCGTTTCATATGATCTTACATTCCATATGGCTTAGAAGGCTAAATATGAGACTTAGCTGACGATTAACTTCCACTTAATTAGATTTTTTTTTTTGTACTTTTGAAATTAGTCAAAATTTATGATATACTTTTTTCTTCACATTACTTGATGCTTTCAAGTTGTCAGACTCATACTAGGTTAGGTCTAATTTCTGATAAGGCAATTAAACTATTACTCTATATATATATACCCATTTATTTATTATTGGAATTTGATAATGAATTCTTTTCTTTTAGTATTTATAGTTATAGAAAAGACTAATACTTTAATGATCACTTTGTAATTAAACTGTCAACATGTAAATTTTAATATGAAGAATGGCTGATTTATTTGATCTTTCTTTTTTTAAAAAAAAAAAAAAGAATTTGACAAAAAGCTGGCCTATTCAGCTTATAGTCTAAAGTTATTATTAACTATGAGAAGATTATAATCTAATAACATAGTTAGAAAAAGATATATACTATTTTTTTAAATATGTCTATACCTTTTATCGATATCTATATATTGAATTTGATATGCTGTATTAATTAATTATTAATATAGTACATATTTTATCTTTATATCACTTGCATTATGAATGGCTAAGTTAAAATAATAATTTTTGTAACTACACTTCTATTAAGTTATAACATTTCTATAATCATAAAATTAGTTTAGTTACACCGTTACGACTATAAAGATGTTTTATAGAATTACAAATGAAATAAAGAAATTAAATTTACTAGATTTTAAAACCACGCCCAACTCTAATCATCAGCAAGCGAGAACATATATATAGATTAATTTGGAATTTGGTAAGCATCATAATCTTTATTAACTTCATACAATCCATTAGAATCAACCGCATGCACTGTGTCATTTTCCCATGCTATTTTTTTATTTCTTTATTTTTTTATTTTTGCAAGCCCAGAGTCTTTAGTCCTGATTCGGCAATTAATTAAATAGTTTAGTGTATTTATTTACTGTTCAATACTATTTATTTACATGAATTTGGGGGAACAAACTAGGACTAGCATCACTTGATGGGAACAAAGTTTTGAGAGAAACGTTCAATATGAGATTTAAGTAAGTATCCGAAAGAGAAACGGGATCTTTCAGCTGGTGAAGTTGGTGTTTGAGTTGATGTTCGTCGTCTTTCATTCTTTACTTCAACATCAATCGGACCCATCTCTTTTTTCATTGATTCAACAAAATCCATGTCTACTTCATTTCCTGAGATGTCTCTCAAATAGAAAGCATGCACTGACTTTTCTCCCTGCGTTGCTACGTCTGCTCTAACGACTGCCAGACCATTCTCTCTAAGAACTCGAGTTATATCAGATAGTAATCCTACCCTATTTGCCGCACTTAGCTCTAGTCTTAACCCCTGCAAGTAATCATGATTAATATAAATTTCCATATGCTAAATATATATTTTTGATGCTTAATGAGTTATTAATTATGATAATCACCTCACAAACACGACGCTCAATAGCAGCCTCTAAGCATTTTATCACTCGTTCCTTTTCACTTTCTGTGTTCAGAGCATATCCGTCTAAATGTCTTATGAAGTATTCCTGTAAAGAAGAAATTGAGATAAAGAAGAAAGGAAATGGCAGAGAAATTAATATAAATGCATACATACATATATATATATATACCTGGAATGCGTAGCCTGTGCGAGAACCAACAGAGGCATGAAACACAACGTACTGCATATCAGTGAGGGTACATACAGTGTCAAACATAAGCCTCGGCCTATCTTTACACTCAACACTCACTATTGAATATCCCTTCTCATCACAACTCTCAATTGACACAAGAGTCTTCCTTCCACCTTCCTCATCGCCGTTGGATCCCAATCCTATTACGGTCGTTGGACTCATGGGCTCATCTGGCCTATCAAAATCCCTAACAGAAAGCATTAGTTGGTGCAACCTTCTTTCCACGTCAGTCTTTGTTCCATCTCTTCCAGGGCTCTTAACTTCTTGTGGAACAGGATTAATGTGAGTCTCACTAGGGTTTTTCTCTGCGGTGGCGCGTAGGACATTGGTGAGGTGGTACTCGATGAGAGCCAAACGATTAGGGTCGGCGATTGGAGAGTCGGTGGACTGATCAGAAACGTAGGCCACACAAGCTAAGCGATCATTGTGGCTCCATGCGTGTGCTTCCACAATATTACAGTGAAGTTGAGCTAGAGCGGCTGATATCTCAGAAAAGAGACCGGGGCGGTCGGTTCCAGTCATTTCAATGGCGGTGTGCTCGCTAGGGTGTTGGGGTTCATAAACAGCTTTGTTGGCATAGGTCTTTGGCATGGCCGAGCCAATTGTCGTCTCGCTGGTTGTACCTATTGCCTGCATGCACATAAAATTTCTCACCTCCAACTTAAACTTTGCCCTAGACTATATATGAACAGCAAGCACCAACATAAAGGTAAGTTAAAAGATAATTTGTACCTGCCGGATATTATCGATGAGTTTCTGGTCTATGAGTTTATTGCCATGTTGATCTTGGACATGAAACACTTGAATAATAGAAGTGAAACACCATCAATTAGGTTCTCATGATAAAATGTAGGGGTTGAATCGAAGATATCAGCTAGGGTTTAGTGTAATCTGATTAAATCCTTCAAAATTTTAGAATAATTTTCCATTAATATATATATTACCATCCATAAACCAGCCTGCATCAGAGGAAATGTAGCCCTTTGTGATGGTGAGATTCAAGTCAGTCAAAACTTGGACCAGTTCAAGGAGGAGGCCCTGCTTGTTCACACTATCCACCTTCACTACAGTGGATTCTTCCAAGCTTTCATTGTCAACGGTGACCCTACACCTGACCCCAAAACGACAACGTATGGCTAAATAACATAAGTTGTCATCTAATTGTTAATTTATAAATTAAAGATTCTTAGTAAGACTACTTACGTGGGGCCATATATTCTCTCTGGGAAATTATGAAAATCAGGATCAAAGTAAGGCCAACAAACTTTCTTCATGTCGCAAAATGAAATCAAAAACACCTGAATCAAAGCGAATAAAGAAAAAAAATCTAATGAATTAGAAGTAATGAAATGCCTAAAAGGAACTTGCCTCAATATACAATTCATCAAAGCATAGAAATGACAGCTGAAAGTGCCTCAACATACGCAGAAAATTAAACGACTCCATTGTTGCACCTAACTTAAAGATGGAAACTAATCTACTTTTCTAGATTCTGAAACCATTGTACTCTGATTATCTGGGTTCATCTAGGCGAAAAAAGAAAAAGAAAAATACAGTGTAGTTTCTGATACAACTCGGTGAAAATCTCGTTAAGATCATGTATCATAATTTATTTCAAAAGTAATTTAGATAAAATAAATCTATGTCAGTTATAGTTGTAGTTACTAGTTAGATAGAGAAAAGATGAAATAAATCCGTAAAAAAAATTGATTAAAACAACACAATGCAGGCTTTTATGAAGCTCAACCCTCAACCCACTGCATAGAATACAAAAAAAAACAAAAAAATTGATTAAAAAAATCCCTTTCATTAATTATAAAATGAATATAGATTAAAACAGAAGAAAAAGGAGAAGAATTATAAATATATATAGATATGGATTAGTGAGGATTACAGAGAATCAGAGATGATGGGTAGTGAAACTGGGGATAAGCCCAGCTCGGAAAATGAGGAAGCAGAAGAGAGAGAAGAATGAAGAAGAATTTAGTCTCTCTCTCTCTCTTTCTGTGGAAGATGATAAAGAAAAAGGAAAGGAGAGTTATTTCAGCCCAATATAAGAGTGGAAGAGAAATGGAGATCAGGGAACTTACTACTATTCTTGGACTTGTGAATTGTGATTGAGAGTGTGAGTAGAGTAGGATATAAATAGATGATAAAAACGTGTGATAAATGATTAATTACAAGACAAATCTTAGAGAAAGCTGTCTCAGATGGGACACGTACAAAGTCAAATTATATTTATCGGCCACGTTTTGTATTGATTTTTTCTTCTTCTTCTTCTAATTACTGGAATAATAGGCATGAATTTTTGGAACATGTTCCCAAAGTATTTGGGGCCACAAGGGAAGACAACTCGTGCTAGATTTCAAGGTTATAGCCGATATTTTAGTCGTTCAATTCGATAACTAGTGATCCTCATCAATCAGCATCTGTTTTATTAATGTCTACGTGATAGTTTCCTTTGCAATTGCAATTACAATGGCCAAACTGATGTACTCTGTCTTTTTATGGTAGAAAATAGTATTTCTTGACTTAATCTCCTACTTTTAAACCATAATTTCCACGAAAATGGTTAAACTTGTACCAAAATGACAAGACAAAAAAAAAAGCAACTTTTGACGAATCACCACGCGGTTGGCCAACTCAAGTTCATCTGAGAATGAACCAATGCATATCCATTAATTCAATTTGACTTACTATCGAAGGAAATGCATGCGTTCGTTTCGTGATCAATTCAGAACTCTCTTGCTATTTGTATCCAAACAGAATATTAATTACAAATAACAAATGTCAACTGCCCTAATCAAATTGATAAAGATTTTTACGTAAGCCTGTTCTTGCATGCACGAGTTTGGGAAACGTGTAACTTTATCAATAGACAAACAGTTTTTGGATTGACTTGATGATTATCGGATGGTAATCGTTATCCAATGATTTCTTCTCCCAAAAGGGACCTCACCACCATCCGGCTGATTGAGCTTAGCTGTAATGGAACTAGAGGGAAAAGTCTCGATTCATGTTTTAAATTATGTCAATGTCAATGCTATTGCTACCAGAAGGCCAATAAAACATAAGAGCGCCATTGAGAAAGAAACATAAATAACAAAACTTTTCAAAAGGCCTATAATTAACTTTATGAAAGAACAAAAAAAAAAAAAAAGAAACAATTAAGTATGGCATTTTGCAACTGTCAGTTCTATTGGATACACTCCCGCAATTGAATTACCAGTAAACTATCCACCCATTCAACATCCAATCGAGATCACTATTAGTATTATTACTTTCCCACCAATCCATTGTGCACCAACAGTCCTACCAGTGAAAAATGCCGAGTAATTCAAAAATAACATCCCTTTTTCATATAGAGATGTCACCCAACAGCTCTCTCTATTAGGCCAACAAATGCATGCCTCATTTTATAGTGTAACCTCTCATACCTAATTTCAAGAATGGTTGAACCAAGGTCCAACAGCACCATTCACGTGTCCATTGCTGTGGATCCCAACACCATTTGGGATCAGTGATGGAGGCAATCCAACAGCCATTGGCGGCGGTGCACTTGGATATAATCCATGATTGTGTGGATGCGGGTGAGGACTCACGAGAGGACTGCCAGCTGGACTCCCTTTACATTGTTGGATAGCGTGGATTTGCCTAAGCCCTTCCTCGTGAATACGTGCTAGTGTTTCCAACTCCTTCATTGACAGAGCTTCCAAACCAGCACCATATAGCGGGGCATGTCGTGACATTTCTTCTTGAAGCTGAGCCTCGAGGTTCTGAATATATTGCTGCAAAACACAATAAATGCTGAACATCAGTGTGGAACGAGAAAGAAAGAGAAGACACAGATTTCAAAAACTTCCAATAGTAGATTAAAACAATGGTTATTATGCTAACTACATGCTCAATTATATCCAAATTCAACACGAAACAATTAAGATAGTTAACTTCACTGGAGGAATGCAAAAAGAAAATTAAGACTGGAGGGTATTAGAAGGGGAAGAAAGAAGATGACGATCACCATTATGACGATAAAGAGTACGACAAATATAGAGAAAGGAAAAGGTTATATGCTGTGTTGTGGCAAAAACCTGGCATGTCTGCAATTTTGATTCCATGCCATCAATATATGCTTCACATCGAGCAACCTGCTCTTCCTTGTCCCTCTTTTCTCCTTCAGTTTGCCCAACTGTTTGTGTCAACCGTCGAACTTCATCCTGAAGAGACTGACAAATTTCTTCCCGCGTCACATTCTCAGTGGCATATCGTTTTAATTCATCATCAAATCTTTTTCTTGCAGCTTCAGCGCTCTTCAATCTTTCAGCAAGAGCATTTTTCTCCTTCATTACTCTCTGTCACATTCATAAATTGTTGTCAGAAAAGGTATTAAAACAGTTATCAATACAAAACGCAAAACAAATAATAGTTCATTTATCAGCAGATAATCACCACCCCCACCCTTGCAATCTCCAAAGGTAATGTAAGTTCAACAAAATATATGGAAAAAAATTTATTGTCATGATTGGTTCACTTTTCCTGGATGATGTGACCTAGTTTCACATTTTCAATATTCCATTCACACTTGAAGACATACCAAGCTCAAAGAGTTACCTAATTACTCATGCACCTATGAAGATTGTACTCAAATCTCTCAACTTCAGCTCATTCTTATGGAGAGACGGAGATTTTTAGGCCAACCAAAAATTGGTAAATTACACACCCACCAGGAGATGACACACAGTCGACAGTCGAACTATAAACAAGGAAAACATCAAAATGACAAATCTTGCCTCCAAATATTACCATTGTCATTGCAATATAACTTCCTCAAAAAACCCATGACTTCCTCAATATGATCTTCCAACAATCCCGAAGGAAAAACATAAGAGAACCATTGTGATACAAGTTCAACGAGATCAGACTCCCCACAACACCTCTTGCTGAGGTGTACAGCAGTCATCTAGTATTAGGTTTACAAGTCTCAATGCTAGAATTGATATTAAGATATTGTAGGACCTTCCCTCTTGGAATAGAGCTTGGTAATGCAACTCATAACCCTTCTCTTCCATAACTGAAACCAGCAGACCAACATCTTAAATGGGGAAGAGGTACCACTTAGCTCCAGAGGTGAGAGGACCGGGATATATGAAGCAATGCCATCAAATACTCGTGTAGGAAATAGAAAAGTAATTATTTTCGAAAACAGATGAGTAGAATCAGTTAATTTTCAACCCAAAAGAGAAAAGAGGAGAGAGAGAGAGAGAGAGAGAGAGAGAGAGAGAGAGAGAGTAATTACTACCTTCAATTCATCACGTTTCCGGGATTTCAATTGGGAGAGTTGATTCTCTGCATCATGAAGACGATCCTGAAGAACTTTTTTCTCAGCACTGAGCTTAGCAATTTCATCATCCCGCTCAGAACGAATCCATTCTAGCTGACTTTCAACTTCCTGTATTTGTTCAGAAAGCTCTTTCTTCTCACGAGCAAAGCGATCCGTCTCAGCCCTCATTTCAGACTGCCAATAATAAATGGTATCATCATTTCCAGTAACCCCAAACAATTAAAATGCAGTAGTGATTCACCAGATCTAATTATTAGTCAAATCATATCAAGTACCTTAAGACGATTATTTGTAGCCTCAGATTCATTCAGCTTTTGTGAGATAATAGCTTTTTCTCTAACCATATTTGCCATTTCAGCCTTCCTCTCTTCACGCATACGAATAATCTCATCTTCACTAGCACATAACTGGTGCCAAAGAGCTGCCCGATCAACATTTGCAAGTTCAGCAACCTCCCGCATCATGCTCAGAACAGGTCTAACAATTTCTTGCTCCTCACAGACCAGAATAACCAAAATTTCCAAGTCCAGATCTACTTCACGGCTACTGTCTGTAGTGCTGGTTGCACGATCAACCAGTCTCTTCAGCATCCTGCCGCGGTAGGACTCATCAGGATACCATTTTAACAATATTGTGTACAGCATTTTCACAAACCCCTTCACACGTAGGTCCCTACAGAGGGCCAACGTCTCAGCAAGACCAAGAACACAATTAAAGTCATCACGTTGGACTCTTAGCTGTTCACTGGCCTCTCCCTCCACGACCACATCTGCATGATGAAAATTTTCAGCAACAAATCTGGCACTAAGATTCAGTCTTTGAGCAAGGCGTCTTTCCAATACCATGGCTACAGCTTGAGCCACAATGGTTCCTCTAGCTACAGCTCTCTCAAAAGTTTGAGCAGCTTCAACAGCAAGACAAGGTATAGATAACAACTCAATCAGTATGTATATATCAGAAAAATGACAAGCAGCACGGAAGGCCTGTTCATCCACCACATGTAACTTTTCTGAAGTAGGCCCATTCTCTCCAAACAAAAAGAGCCCACAAGGCATTGTTGAGCAATTGTCACCAAAATCATCATCAGAATCAATATCTCTAAGTATAGTCTCTGCAACATCTCCCCAACTATTTACAGTTTTACTTAGAAAATCAAGGACACAAGGAGAAACATCCGCACCCAAATTTTTAAGCCTAACACGAACTGTTCTAACCTGCAGATGAGAACATACA